CAACACTGCTCTTCAATTCTCCGAAAAATGGTTCTCTTGCGGTGAGTTCACCTTCGTTCACTTTGAATTCCTTTGATCTGCTCATCTCGATAAGCACTAGACGCCCTATTTCCGCATTCGTACTTGCATATTTGACTGGTTTTAAACTGTTGCAGGGATTTGTTGACGGGTGCAATGAGAATGTCTTTGTCATATTGCTTTAAGCGTTCTTGCTCTACTTCATTGAGAACAGCGTACATCTGCTTTTTTGAGGTGAAGGGTTCCTCCTTGGCAGCATTTACCAGTTTAGTGGCAATGGTCGGATATAGCCCGGGAAAAGCCGTGAACTCTCGTGCTAAGGCATTGTTGACATCCAGACGAGCAGAAGCGGCTGATGCAGATTGACTTGTAACCAACGCCAGTGTTGCAGATGCCACAGTGACATCTGTCAAAAGGTTTCGACGGGAGATACGACCATTATCAGGAGAAGCCTTCAACGGTAGCGAAGGAAACAGCCATGAGAGAGCTGAGGGAAGGAATACACAGAGCAAGACGAACAGGGTTTGTTTCATTCTGTCATGCAGATGGTTTGTAGATTATTTTTTATGACTACCGCGCAGTGGATGTTGAAGTGTCTCGTCAACTGAAAGATTTTCCGAACAACGATTATTAATTATACGAAAAAGGGTGTAATTTTGTTTTTAAAAAATAAAAAAGGATAAATATGTTTGAGGTCTCAGTAGGATTGAATAAATGGAGTGTACTTGCATGGTATTATCAAAATCTACTGTACACTATTTTTGTGTTATATTGTAATCTATAAAGTGGTCATCAAAATCAGCCCTGAGAATGCTAAGCAGCACAGGCAGTGCTTGGAGGAGCCATCAACAAAGTCACAACATTCCTCTGGCAAACCTGCCAGCTTTTCTCATAGTGGTTCTTGCTTGTTGATTCTGGTTTGCCACAATATGTCATGACTGCCCAGAGTTGGCGAAGAATCTCGATAGCCTCCTTGCGGTTTCCAAGAATGAAATGAATGCTTGCCGTATTGTTCAATATTGACATGGCAACGCTTGATTCGTGGACACCCTGTGTTTGAGAGGATATCTTGTATAGGTGCAATGCCTTTTTTAGCTTTTCTATTGATCCGTTTTGTAGCGCCCAAAGATGAGTTGTAATCGCAAGGTTGTAAATCACTACCGAAGTAATTTTGTGGCTTCCCATCATGGCTGCTCTCTTGATACTGATAGCCGTCTTGCAGATCATGTGATCCTTGAAATCACATGGCTCATAGAACTCGAGATCAACAATGGACTCGTCTTGTAGGTTTCCTGCTTGTTCTTCCATGTGTGGTAGTTGTTGGTGTTGGTGCGCAATGTCCTGCTTGATCATATAAAGGGCATCGCGGAAGAGACATGTTGCTTCTTCGTAATTGTGGTGCAGCAGACTGGAAAGGCCACAATCATTCAATTCAATGGCGGAGGAGTCGTCGTGGTGGTTCATATTTTGTTTGTGTTTCTGAAAAGTGAGCAGAGGTTACTGTGCCGATTGAAATTGTGGGAACAGGTGAGGAGAATTGTGGGCTTCGTATTGGGATTGTCGCTTCTCAAAATACTGTAAGGTAATGGTACCGTATGATTATCGATATTATGTGCGTCAATAATACATTACTATTACCTTCGCCGGCTATTATATCAGAAGAAGCTTCTTTCTTCAGATATATCAAGCTGGCTATCAAGTTTACATCTGTTCTCTTTCTACTTACCCCGCTTTTTACCTTCCACGCAACTTTGTATTCTTCCGGTGAAGATTCGATTCTCAGAATTCTTCTTTGCGAAAAATCTTTTTGATAGCGCGCGATGGTAGTATAATTGTTCGATTTTCAGCGGGAGGCTACAGTATCTCGTCATGGAGAAGCTGAGATTGGAATACCGGCACAAAGTTTTGAAATGAACATTCGTTCGCGCGGAAACAGAAATGATTGAATCAATCATCGTCGGAACAGAAATGAAGACACGGGTTTCTATGTTCTTCCGAGGAATGAATAGAGAAGAATGAACTCTCCATTTCTCCGAATATCTATTTGACCAACAGGATCCGAATTGATTGATTCAAATATTCAAATCACATTCCCCCGCAATAATGCGCTCTTTTAAAAAAATAATAACTGCCTACAGCACACGAATCATCATCATCACTGTCAATCCTCAAATCAGCGCAACATCATGGTAATTCGAATACCTGTCAAGCGAGATGTCCTGGAAATGGAAACAGAAGACCTTTTGGTCAACGCAGAATATGGCGAGGCGGGAGCAACCTCTGGTAACGATGATTCAGGGAGAAAGAGGAATGTCAAAATTGTTGCTCTGATTGTCCTGGCTGTTCTCGTGGCAGTCTTTGTACTTCAAATAGATTCTACAGTATCAGAAGATGTAATGGAAGGCTCAGAAGAAGTGATGCATAAGGATATGCATGGTAGCAGCTTTGGAGGAATCAATAACGTGGCTTCGCCTGGAGGAGCAAAAGCTGCATCCAAATTGGCAGGAGTGGCATATGAAGATATCATTGTTCCCGTGTCCAACGTTGGACATGCTACCCCCTCACTGAATGAAGCTAATATTCGAAACTTGGTGGGACACTATATGCACGATGAGCATCGATCGCCCTACAGTTCCCATCTATATGACAAACCTAAAGAATTCTTGGATGAACAACAAGAAAAATACCTTTCAAAGATGAAACGAGTTCGAGAGGAATGGGGAGCCTGGAATTTTCGAGATCCATCAACAAAAAAGCGGACAGCTGCTAATTTCGAGAAAGCCCCATATAAGGATCTGAACGCAACCAAGTTTCCAGAGTCTTCCTGGCAAGTGGATGAAGAATACAATCAGGAATTTCTGAAGGAAGCAAAGGCTTTGGTCAACCGAATGAAAAACGCAATATATGCCGAATATGGGTGGCCAGTTAAACCCGACATGACACAAGAAGAAAAGGAGAAGCATAACGAATTATGGAAAATCCATGTGGGCTCTGTTGAATCTTCCTCCCATCCGAGCCCTCAAACTGGGATTGCAGCCCTCACAAGCGCTGGGATGGATGGGTTGGTACGCAAGCTTCTGCATGCCATGATGACTCATGATGACTTTTACGTCGTGTTGGCGGGGCATTCTGCTGCAGCTGGTCATGGGAACGACTTCATGCAGAATCGAATCATGGCATTTCACAAAATCATGGAACCAATCTTTGACAAACTGGGCATGCGTCTCATTAGCAGAAATATGGCCATGGGTGGTGTAGGAACACTACAGTTCTCGCTTGCTGGTGGAGATTTGTACGGGGAAGCAGACATTTTTGAATGGGACTCGGCAATGACTGAGAAGGGCCCGTCGGTGGATCTTTTCAACAAGCAAGCGATTCTATCTGGAGAACGAGTGCCTCTTATCATGACAGAAGACCGATTCTATTACAATATTATTGAAGAGACTGGAGGGTCTGCATACATGGGACAGTACGCCACTGATAACACGCCCATTTTCCCCCAGACAACACTTGAAAACGTCAAAACTATTCCGTACGCTGCACAATGGTACGATCAATCCGAAGAGAAATACAATTCCATTTGTTGGGAACCACGAAGTGACTTTACACCAGAAACGAAGCAAAGCGAACATCCTGGATCGCAAGTATCATGGCACCCGGGAAATCGACATATGACCTGGCAAGGCAGAAGGCTGGCTCTCGTTGTCCTTCAGGGTCTGACGCTTGCCTTGGAAAAGTGGGAGACGGAGACAAGGTCCAAGGGATATCCGCTTGCCGAATCACATTGGCACGTTGGCAAAGAATACCAAGCTATCCGAGATAATCTTCGTAAGCACGTTTCAACTCCAAAACTGAACGATGACAACGAAGATATACGGTCCGATTGCGAGAATGTTTTCCCTTGGATCCCACGAATTTGTCGTGTACAAATGCATGGTTTCGGGATGTGGTCTCCACGTGTCCTCAATGATTTTGACCTTTTGAAACTAATCCATCCGGCACCTAATGGCTACGTTCCTGATTATCCTCAGAGCAATCTCTACAATGGGTTCGACCTTATGCCACTTAGTCAAGCCCTTCCCGACAATGAAGTCGATGTGCACGCTGTCGCCATTGCAACAACCGATCCTGCTCCCAACGATTTGGATCATGATTGGATAGACGATGAAAATAAGCTATCTGGAAACAGTGAATCACCACCCACACGACGACTGCTGAAGCAAGCATCAGAGGCCGCTATGAATTTTAGAAGCGAGACTGCAATGGAAGACGTGAGAAGGAAGATGCCAAAAATTGGAAGAAGAAGACTTGTTGAAGACTCCGGTATCATCCCTGGCCGCGGATGGGAGGTAAGACTCTTCCGAATTCCTGTTCTTGAAACTGGTGTCAATAGATGCTCACTTGTTTGTTCCCAGGTTCATGGATGGGACCCCGTGAAACAATTTTGCGACGGTTCGGCTCAGAGTGAATGTTCCCGAACGCCAGGCAACGATTGTCTCCTTTATGGAGCCAACGATAAACATATGGACGTCGCTGGTAGTAGTATGAGTGGCTGGCTGGTCTTCACTGTTCCAAGGGTACAGGAAGGAATCATTATGATCCGTATGGAATGGTGGTGCTTCATGAGTGGCGGACCTCACATGGCCAACGGCTGGACCGAAGTCAATGACGGAAAGACGACAGATACTACGCCGTACAATGTCACCGGCCCTGACAACCAGCGCAGATTGCACTCGTTTGAGCCACTGGCTCGGCCTGACACTAGAAAACTCAAACCAACTTTTGAACAGACAGTTCCAACCGACTTGGAAATGGACTGGGCGATCAACGGAACCATTAATACCATGAAATATGACGAATGGAAAGACTATAGTGTCGAAAAGGTGAAGAATGTTGCGATATGGCCGCTATTGAATGATCTGGAAATGGCAGAAAAGAAATGGGACGGTGCCCCAGTGGAAGTGGCAATCAGATTCCGGAGTGAACTGAAACCCAACTTGCCCTTTTGCATATCGCATGTTTACTACGCATAAATCATACGGTATAGAGACATAACCGATATCACCGCAATTTATTACCAACCTGAAGACTAACATCAACATCGATGGTGGGCTGCGTCATTTCAAGCTCAAAATCTACAGTACCGCGATTCCAGTATGATACTGTAGAGACATGAGTTTGTGTATTTGGGACTAAAAAAGCTTTCATTTTGGCACATCCCCGGTAGAAGTCGTGATGATGTAAAATTTGGTGATTATAATTATTGTATCATGAGATGCGAGACAGGATCGAACATATCCGTTACATCGTATATCGTAGGATGAATGAAGTGGAAGTCAAGCTCGACAAGGATTATCGCCCAGCAGTCATTGGTACCGGTACCAGGCCATTGCTCCACCACTTACCGTATAAGAACATGTCGGAACGGATTTCAGTCGTGAAAAAACGTCCGTCATTGACACCTACAGAAGGCATTCTTTTTTTTTTAAAAATAATATTCCGACAGTTGATTATTATTTCTCCTCCAAATCCATCACATCTTGCATACCAACGATGACCGAGAGTACCACAAAGGAAAACAACGTAGTCTCATCACGATCCATATTGAAGTGGATTTACCTTTTGGCAACTTTCTTGAGCCTCTTCATGGTTGGATGGATCCTCGTGTATCCGTCATCATGGTTGATGGGTCATTCCGAGCAACATGATGATTGGATCAACAAGACACTTGTGGAACCCTACGATGGAACGCAAATTCACCCCAAGGTTGTCACCAAGTATAAAGGCCATCCAGACGTACAATTCACCCACACCCTACCCGCTGCAATTTGGTCGGCTGCCATTCCATTTCAGCTGCATGAAGGCTTTCGAAAGACATACAAAACCTCACACCGAAGAGCTGGCTACGCCTTTCTAGGCAGCTCTCTTCTAATGACTGTGGGTATGTTCCTGATAGTGATCAAGAAATTGACATTCGACTACGATTACGAAGGTCTGGCGCCACCATTATCAAAATTTGAAGAAATACAAACCAAGGCCACAATTTTGGGCATGGGGCTATGGTTTGCATTCACTTCGTCGATGGCAGTCACGGAGGCTAGAAAGAAAAGATTCCAGTCCCACAAGCACTATATTTATCGGCATGTTGGAAGTGGACTATGGGTAGCAATTCAAAGGTTATTGATTCCAGTATTTGGTCCTCAGAAGAATCCGGAAGCCATGCGGGACCGCTTTGGTGATGCTGCTTTTATTGGGTTTGTATTATCTTTTTCTCTGGGTGAGCTGGCTGTGTACTTGGATCGTCAGACGACTGGAAAACAGATCAAGACGCAATAGACATTACAGATGCACTCTCTCCGTTCATTAATTTTGGACTGATAGGAGGACCTCGAATCTCGTCTGAAATCCACCGTCGGCGTTGCAATCAACACGTGACATCAAACAACTTGAAACTGCTCCCGGTGCAAAACCACGAAAAAAATGCGGAAAATCGGGAAAGCGAACACGCACGTCCATCTGTTTTGAGTGAAATTACAGGAGAGAAAGATAAAAAGATGGGAGGAAATCCTTTTCTCACACTTCAAGCAGAGAAGCATTTTTTACTCCTGTCAGTCTCCCTCCACCAAGCCTAAAGGCCACTACAATACCACTTGAATATGAGTCACATCATCAGATATCTTGCATCTTTCCTTCTGCTTCAGCAGGCATCAAGTCTCAGCCTTCCTGATGTCACAGCTGTCACCTCCCAACTTTCGCATATTTCTCCACATTTGGCTGCTCACTCGTTTGCTCCCTCGGACCTCCTCGATGGATACAAGGAATTGTTGAATTCCAATCCTCTCCCTACCAAGATGCTGACAGGTGCTACCTTGGCAGTCTGTGGAGACGCCATTGCACAGTCCAAGGATGATAACGAGTACGATAAGCCACGAGCAGCATCTTTTGCCGCATTCGACATGGTATACCGCGCCGTCCAACATTTCTCTTTCCCTATCATTGTTGCGGCTTGCCATGGTCAATACCTTGGAGCCATCCCACTAGTCGGCGACATTGATGTTTCTCAATTGAGTGCCATGGAACAAACCTTGGCAAGTCAGCTTGGAATTGTTCCTTTCTTTTACTATCCAGTCTTCTTTTCCTTGACCGGAGCTATTCAAGGCCTTTCGGTTTCTGGCGCCATGGACCGAGCCAAGGAAAACTTTGTTCCCCTCATGAAGAGAAACCTTCTCTTCTGGATTCCAGTTCAATTTATTCAGTTTGGCTACATTCAAGAAGACTTGCAAATCCCATTTTTGTCCATGTGTGGATTGGCCTGGACTTTTATCTTGTCCGTCGCTGCTGGTTCTGCCAAGAGCTACACTCCCGAGGAGGAGACCGAAATAATCACTCCTGGAGACGGCACCTCCAAAGATGACACGAGCACAGTAGCGCCCGTTACGCCAATCGTACAGCGCTCATGATTAGCCAATAACGAAACATGCCGCCTTCTGAACATCTGCTAAACTATCTTGTACAATATAACTGCTAAAGGTATCGCTGCTGATTTTTATATATATCCATCGGAAAAACTCCCTTATTTTATTACTTCTCTACGCCAAAATAATATTTGTTAGTTTTCAAACCAATTGCTAGAAAGCCGCTGCAACTAACCAACCGGTGTGTCGTTGGCACACTAACTCCTCTTTGTCAGTCAGAGAGCATCATATCCGATCGTGCTGTGATCATTGGTAGGCAAAAAGACAAATCTCAAGCCCATGTACGATAGAAAGCCAACCGGGCCAAGCATCAAAGTAAAGAAAAGACAAGGGATCATGACCAAGACATGAAATTTGATCGAGGCGCCGCGTTTCAAGGAATCTAGCAACATCATTCGTCCGACCAAGGCATCGAAGACAATGTAATGCGTCCATCCAGCAAAGACAGAATTAGGATCTTGGAAGGCTTCAACCACTGACTCCAAGGATCCGAAATCCAGCGATCCGGAAGCTCCATCGGCAGGAAAGAAGATAATGGAGAAGATGGAGCCGGCATAAATAAACGAGTGAAAGATAGGAGTCACCAACGTCAAGGTGGGCGTCCACTTCCATTTTGGAAGGCAGGCCATTAGCAGCCAAGTTAGCATCACCAGGTTCAAGGATCCCCATAGATCAGCAGCCGTGAGGCCAAACAAAAGCTTAAACTTCATAAGTTCCATGGTGATATTCGCTGTGTTCTAGTGTGGATTGTGAGATCAACAGACATCGACTTGTGGATGATTATGACGATGATGGTGAGTATAGTTGACTGATAATGACGGAACAGAGAGGATGTTCCACGACGTGACTCGGATGAATCGACTTGTCCCTTGGTTCGTGGTCGATCGCGGTCCGTGGAGTTGAAAGTATCTATATTGTGAGGTGTGTTCTTGTTGCAAGTGCATTAAAATATTGATCCAAAAAGAAGGATGTGATGACTGGATGTTGAGATATACAAATAACAGATTCTTGGTTCGAATGCTAGAACTTTCGATCGATTTCTAGCAACAACGTCATCCTGATATTGATTATTATCATCAAGATTCGCTCTAGTACTAGGCTACTGAGAGGATCGATTTCCAATCCTTGAGTGTATTGCATAAAACATGCATGGACATCTAATTATAGCTATGAATATGTATTGAGAACAGCATACATCCCATAATCTACAATATTTTCATTTTTCCATCATTGACCGGATCCTTCGGCAAGAAGAAGAACCTGAGAACCATGTAGAGTCCAAACCCCACTGGTCCCAACAAGAAGCAAAAAATCAGCGAAGGTACGACCCCGCAAATATGAAAGCTGGTAGATGCGTTGTGGCTAAGGGAGTCCAAGAGAACCATTCGCCCTACCAAGGCATCGAAGGCAATGTAGTGGACCCATCCAACAAATACAATATTGTGATTCGTGAAGCCTGTCACAACACCTTCCAAGGACATAAAGTCGAGCTGCGCTGCATCTGGATCTTGCGGAAAGATAACCAGCGAGAATATACCCAGCGCATACAACAGGGAATGTAGCATGGGTGTGACTAACGTCAAGGTGGGGGTCCAGCGCCACCTTGGAAGAAAGACCATCAGCATCCATGTGATGAGTACAATATTCAAGGAGTCGAAAAGGTCAGCGGCAGTGAGTCCTCCGAGGAGTGTCAGCTTCTCTAGTTTCAATTCCATGGTGCAGTAGATTCAAAGTACGATATGTGATTGAGGATGATGAGATTCTGGATACTTTTTGGGGTAGACTTTTATTGTACATTATGCGTTGTGAGAGTTTCGCGAATCATGTTTCGTGACTGAATTGAGTCATTGATAAAAACACCCAGCAAAAATAACTTCCCGGTTAACCGATTTTCGGTGAGTTGGATCTTGAAATTTTCGAATTCCTAAATACCTTTTTATATTCGTATTCGTGCTGTATATGGATATGCATTGTATATAAGCGAAAACTATGGCAAAATACCAATGAATGACGCAAACATGAATGCACATGCGCGTGAGAACGGCAAAGTCTCGCGGAAAATCGCAGTGACATACAAGAATAAGCATCTCTTTGGTACGATACAACAACCATTGGCAACTTAGCTTACCATTGGCAACTAAGCTTTCCATTGACGCATTGACGCACCAATTCGGCATAGGCACTCCAAATAGGAATTATGGAGAGTGATTCTGAAACCTTTTACAGCCTTCCTGGCAGTGGTAGGAAGGTTAGAGTTCCAATCAAAGTAAAGAAAGGAAAAGTCGTATCACCAACCGGGGTTCAAAACTTTGATTTTGATGAGGATTGTCCAGATGATGAGCGAATGGCCCTGCAGCCCGCGCCTTCTTACATGTCACAGGAAGGTGAAGAAACTGTACTTTTGGAAGGCAATGATGAAATGGCAGAGCTTGAAGCTAGGAGAATTAAGAGGGAAATGGAGGAAGACGAAGCCACTCACTTTACAGAAGGATTGGGAGAAGAGATTATCATGCCCGAAGATTCAGATGACGAAGAAGTGAATGCATTGGCCGACGAACTTGGTGGTCTCTCTGATCATGGTACTAAGAATGTAGCTGGCATGTCTCACGACAAGACGGAATCGTCTGAAGAAGAGAAGAAAGAGGAGGATGTTTCGGATTTTGAACCAGCTCGCACTGGCATTGAGTCTGATGGTGAAGCTCCAAAGAATTCATCTGGAGCCGAGTCAGCTGCGAAATCTGAAGCCACTGACATACCTGAGAAAGCAGAAATTGCTGACATACCTGACAAAACTGATGACAAACAATTCGTGTCTGAAGTCGGTTTTGAAGAACCTGAATCAACTGTTGAAGAGGACGAAAGAGCAGCAGACGAGGCGAAGTCAGCGATTGTGGCAACAAATGCCGCTGTCGAGACGGCTGATGACGAACAAGTTGCTTCGGACGACGTTGTTGAAGAAGCCAAAGCCGAAAAGGAAGAATATGATGCAGAAAAGGCTGATTCAGAGATTGTGGCAACCAATGCTACTGAAGAATCGGAAGAACAAGAAACGGATGAAGCAAAGTCTGAAGAATCAGTGATAGATCCTGTTGTTAAGACGCAGTCGGAAGGTAAAAGTTTGGCGTGCTCCACCAACACAACCGAAGAAACACAGGAATTCGATGATCAACACGAAAATGCTGCTTCTGAGCAAGAAACTGTGTCTCAATCAAAACTACAAGAGGATCCAGCTTTGCTTGTTGGAGCTCCAGACAACGAAGAAGAAACAGATATAGAGGAAGCCAAGAAGGGTGTTGATCCTCCAGCTCGTTCCAGAGGCACTCCGCAAGGTGACGTGGACGAGGATTCCTCGATACCAGAAGGCCCCGATGATGAACTAATGTTTGTCCCTGCAGTGGGGAGCGCTTCTGACACGGATTATGCCACAGCCTCTGACACCGATTACAACACTGCAACGGATTATGCCACTACAGACTACGCCACTACAGATTATGGCACAGACACAGATGGCGGCACGACAGATTATGCTACGACAGATTACGCTACCAGTTTTGATTACGACACTGAAACTACACGTGAAGTTGACGATAGCGCCTCTGTCAACCAATCGGTCACTCACTCTATCGCCAACTCGATTGCGGCGGATGGAAAGGGACCTCGCACGAGAAAGAATGAAAAGGAACGAAGCAAGTGGTCACTCTTTGGCTGCGGAATCGTCGAAGAAGTCCCCAGTACGAAACAAGAATGGTGGAACTTTGTCTTGGACAGCACAGAAGGTGCCCTGCAAACTGTCGGAGGTAACCATTGGGATGATCCTTGGGCTGCTGAAGATGAGTTTGACGATGACTTTGATAGTTACCTGAACCACAACCGAAGCAACCGGCCAAGGCGGCGTGCCAGAAGTGCATCAACTACCAGAGTTAACAGCAGGCAAGCAGCCGCATCAAGAACCAGAAAATACCGACGAGCTTCTTCTGCACCTCGAACGAGAACAAGGAAAGCCCTGCCAAAACAAGATCGGCGAAAGCAGCTGGTGTAGAGGTTCGTTTATGATTGTTAGGGCTTCATAAAAATAACGGAATTAAAATATTCCAATACAGCAGAATTGATTTACACCTATCATATCTCTTCTGTGCACAGACGGGGTCATTTATCTGCACTGATTCCAAGAACCGTACCAGTGTAGCTTTGGTGTCTAGAGTAAGGACTACAGGTATAGCTTCTAGTACCTATACTTTTGCTAGTACTGAATAGTACATGAATTGAAATATTACAGCCTGATCAACAAAATCATGCTGCTTATTCCGCACTCGGTTTATTGAAGCTCTGGTAAGAGCAAAACAGAGGCGGAGACCAAAGCAGGATATACTTTATTGTTCCAAGGAAGCCATTCACGAAAAATTGGATTGCGGAGTGCAGTTTTGTTCTCCTCATTTGCCATATTCGAATTAGCGCCACATGGTCATTTGTACTTAAGAGACGACTTCAGCGAAGAATAAAGTCGTTTGAAACTTCTGTCTCTATTTTCATTGCAATAGTTAAAAAATCGTTAATTTTATAAATAAAATATTGCACGAACAGAACCGTGCGAAGAAAAATGGAATTGTAATACCGCCGCTCCTTTTTATAATATTATTAGACCAGTACCGTACAGTACCATAATTGTTTGCAACAAAACTCCCTGAGCACCAAACACTGTGAGAACTGGCCATTACAGCTACAGTAGGTGCAATACATGAATGGCAACGATGGACGATGACAATAGTGGAAACGATATTCTAGTAGAGGGTCTCTCAAGGGCACAGGAAATGGCGTTGGCCATTCTTCCTATTCCAAGCGCAATCCTCAGCATAATTGGAAGTTCCATCATTATTTACATGTCTGTGTCTACTCGGCGGAAGCGAAAGTGGACGCCCTATACTCGGTTACTCTTGGGCTTAAGCTTTTATGACATCGTGGCAAGTATCACGCTCGGTATGGCAACCTTTCTGCGCGACAAAGATACCAGTCCAAGGCCGCTCTCCTTTGGTTCGTCAGGAACGTGTTCCATGGTCGGGTTTTTCAACCAGCTGTCGTATGGGACGATTTGCTACAATGGAATGCTCAGCTTTTACTTTCTGCTGACTGCGCGCTTTGGACGTAGCAATGCTTATGTTGCCAGAGTTGTAGAGCCATGGATGCATCTCGTGAGCAACGGATTTGCAATAATTACGAGCGTTGTAGCCCTTGCCATTGGTGCCTACGGTGAAATGGCGCACGGGAATGGCTGCTGGGTGGCTAATTTCCCTCGTGGGTGTGGGCTAGATGGGACAGTATGCACTTCAAGAATCATTGGATGGCTGTATTTTGGGCTTCCTGCGATTCTCGTGTTCATCTGTTTGTTCATCAACAACTCCATTATTTTTATATTTGTTCGAATGCAAACTATTTCGAATATGCCCAAGCAGAGCTCAAAAAGTGCGGAAATGGGTCTAGATGAAAGTGCTTCTTCTTGTGCAGATGAAGATGGGAGTACAGACTTGGATTTGGACAGAAACAAGTATGTGTCAAATGATGATTCTCTTGCAAATGATGAGCGAGATTCTTCACAAAATACAGCTCAGTTGAGAGACCAAACAAGACGGCTGCGATTGATTAGTTCTCAGGCATTCTTGTACGTAGCATTTTTCCTCCTATGCAACGTTTGGACTGGAATTGTGGGCATCATTGAAAGCGGCGGGAGAACATGGGAAGAGGAGCTGAAACTACTGGTAAAAAACTTCGGCTTATACGTCCTACAAGCAATCCTGGCACCACTCAATGGATGGGTAAGAATTCACGATGTATTTTTCAAGAAAACCATTGCAGTTTCATTGCGGTGTACTCACTTTTCAAATCGAATTTGGTCAACAAAGTTCAACATGCTGGTCTTCATTAGACCCAAATATCATCTTTGTAGAAGAGCATTCCCAAAAGAGACTCAACTTTGGATCGTTCGGAGAATCATTCTCGGACCAAACGGCAAAACAACGTTCCCCTTAGACAACCAATCGAGACCTATCAATGCTCAACGGGTTTCTCCTACAGATCCGAAAAATGGAAGCGAAGGAAAGCAGGCCAAAGCAAATATGGCTTCAGCCACTCGCCTGCCAAGAGACATGATATCATCCGTGACAGCCAGCGAAGGTGATTTCGAATCCGAGCGACCAACGACCAGTAATAGTGACCGGCGATGGAATTCCGACAAGGACAAAGGCCTCAGTTCGGTCCTCGCGAGTGTCCCACGTCGATTCAAGTCACTTATCGAGGCGAGTCCATCCATTTTGGAAGCCATCAGTGAGAACGAAGTTTCGAACTTCGAGCACAGTGTACAAATTTCGATAGCTGAAGAATTGGCGATGGACATGTCTTCTGGCGAATTTTTTCCCGATAATTCGGAGAGACGTTGGGCATCTGATCCCAGCGCTCCTTCCGTAACATCATCAGCTCGCCAATCACTGTCCATGCCACGAAGAGAAGGGAGCACTTCTGAAGAACCGGGTATATCTAACTCCCATCTAGATCAAAACGGATCCAGTCACCAGGAGGATCACTTGCCATCCTTACCGGTGGATCAGCCCATCAAGATACCGCAACGCCATTCAACACCAGGTTCACCAAACATAGAGAGGAAGGTCCTAGGACCAGACCCATCGAGCTCGTTGCAGCGGATAGCCGAAATCGATCAGGAGACAGGAGAGGTGAAATCGACTACCAGTTCTGATAGACCAGTCAAACCACCGACTCCACGTGAGACCTTTGATTATTGAAATGAAAGATTGCTTCTCATGGCGACGGCGACCCATTTTCCGCCTCGAATGGAAACACGCCAATACAGATGGCTCTATTTCATCTTTGGTTCCACCTTATCATGAACGTTGAATCAATGCTACAGAGAAAAGTTCTTTGTTTCGTTCGCGATGAAATTTTTGTCCTGGTATGCGCGGTACGGTACCACTTTCGCGGTTTCGATTTTGTGTTACATGGTGGTATATACTTGCTGTACTTAACAAAAGCGAAAAAGGTGAAATATGCTGAAGCGACAGATTTGCCGATTTCGGGACAATCACAAAGGTTTTTTGTCTTTTTCACGCAATAGACATGGGTGAAAACCTCACAACATGAGACTGACGATAATAACTACAGCCAGGTGCAATACATGAATGGCAACGATGGACGATGACAATAGTGAAAATGACATTCTACAGGTGCCCTCGAGAGCACAGGAAATGGCGTTGGCCATTCTTCCTATTCCAAGCGCAATCCTCAGCATAATTGGAAGTTCCATCATTATTTACATGTCTGTGTCTACTCGGCGGAAGCGAAAGTGGACGCCCTATACTCGGTTACTCTTGGGCTTAAGCTTTTATGACATCGTGGCAAGTATCACGCTCGGTATGGCAACCTTTCTGCGCGACAAAGATACCAGTCCAAGGCCGCTCTCCTTTGGTTCGTCAGGAACGTGTTCCATGGTCGGGTTTTTCAACCAGCTGTCGTATGGGACGATTTGCTACAATGGAATGCTCAGCTTTTACTTTCTGCTGACTGCGCGCTTTGGACGTAGCAATGCTTATGTTGCCAGAGTTGTAGAGCCATGGATGCATCTCGTGAGCAACGGATTTGCAGTAATTACGAGCGTGGTAGCTCTTGTCATAGGTGCCTACGGTGAAATGGCGCACAGCAATGGCTGCTGGGTTGCTAATTACCCTCGTGAGTGTGGGGGGGAGGATGGACCTGTATGCAAATCACGACTTATTGGATGGCTGTATTTTGGGCTTCCTGCGATTATCGTGTTGATCTGCTTGCTCGTCAACAACTCCATCATTTTCATGTTTGTTAGACGGCAAACCATTTCTTTGAGGATGCCGAGCTCAGCCAGTTGGGTTCATACGGGTCTAGATGCAAGTAATTCTTCTTGCGTGGGCGAATATGGGATCCAGAACATGGATTCAGACAGAAACAAGTTTGTGCCAAACGAAACGTCTCTTGCAGATGACGGACAAGATTCCAATAATAGAGCTCATTTGACGAGGGATCAAGCACGACGGCTCCGACTAGTTACCAGTCAGGCGTTCTTGTATGTAGCTTGCTTCGCCGTGTGCAATGTTTGGACTGCAATTGTGGGAATATTTGAGCGATCCGGGGTCGCGGAGAAAGAAGAGTTGCAAATAGTGGTCGATCACTACGTCTTTTATGTGTTGCAAGCGATCCTGGCACCACTAAATGGATTGGTAAGATTTCATTATGTTTTTATTGATTTGATTACCGCCTTACCTGGTCCGATCCACTAACGTTTCGAATCAATGCAATACAGTTCAACGTGTTCGTCTTTATCAGACCCAAGTATCATCTTTGTCGAAGAGCATTCCCAAAAGAGACTCGGCTTTGGATCGTTCGCAGAACCATTCTTGGACTAAATGTCAAACCAACCTACTCCTTGGGTAGTCAATCAAGAGCTGCCAATGTTCCCCGAGTCTCTCCTACAGACCGAAATAATGGAAGCGGCGAAAAGGGACTTGAAACAAACATGGCCTCATCAACTCGGCTACCAAGAGACATGATATCATCAGTGACAGCCAGCGAAGGTGACTTCGAATCCGAACGACCAACGGCCAGTAATACTAACGAGGGCTGGATTTCCGATAAAAAGGAGAAAGGCTTTGGTTTGATTCTTTCGAGTGTCCCGCTTCGGTTCCGGTCGCTTCGAGAAATGAGACCGTCCGCTTTAGAAGTGATCAGTGAGAATGAAATTTCCACATTCGAGCACACTTTCCAAATTTCGATAGCTGAAGAATTGGCGGTGGACATGTCTTCTGGCGAATTTTTCCCCGACAATTCGGAGAGACGTTGGGCATCTGATTCCAGCGATCCCTCCGTAACATCGTCAGCTCGCCAATCACTGTCCATACCACGAAGAGAAGGGACCACTTCTGACGAACAGGGTATGTCTAACTCCCATCTAGTTCAAAACGGATCCAGTAACCAGGAGGATCACTTACCGTCCCTGCCGGTGGATCAGCCCATCAAGGTACCGCTACGTCGATCGACGCCAGGTTCACCAAATGCAGAGAGGAAGATTTCAGAACCTGAGCCATCGAGTCCGTCACGGCGGATAGCCGAAAAAGATCAAGACACAGTGGAAGCCACAATGGCTACTGATAAACCAATCAAGCCGCCGATACGTCGTGGGAGTCTGGGTTGAAATGCAACATGTTTCACGTATAGACGAGAGGCCTTTTCCGCCTCGAATAGAGAATCCTATTCGGGAAAATGGATCATCATCAACCACAGTGCTAGTGGACGCCAATGCAGTTGATTTGATTTATTTGCCTTCAGCTAGTTTGTACTTCCGTTGGAATTCCAGCTCGAATCCATGTTTGGTCCAATTGCAAGAGCCGGCAAAATGCATCTCGTTTGAGACGCTCCATCTATTCAGATCATGAGCGTTGAGTTGCTGCAGATAATATTTTGTAACCATTTCTTACTAACGTCAGCATAAATTCTTATAATTTGCACAGATCAGCTGCTGCTTCTGGTTTCTGGCTCCTCGCCTACAATTTCACGATACAGATGAAGGACTTGTTCATGATGGTGATCATCCCACGGGGCTTCATAAACTAAAGCTCGAGCCATTGTCACTTTGGAAGCGTCCATGTCTCCCATTGCCTTTTGGCTGAGCGCAATGTAATTGTGGCCAAAGGGAACTTGTCGATTCATCTTGAGCGCCGCTTCTCCCGCCGTAACTGCTTTTTTCATACCTCTTGAGGTGATAAGCAACACGGCACAATCCTGTGAACATCTTAAGTTGTTGAGGAGGGGTTGACGTAGCACCATCGTCTGTTTCCATCGTCATTCCAAAGTACATCAACTTGGCAGCTTCCCAATTCTCCATCATTTCTTCAGCTTCCCCCAGCCTGATATAGACGTCGAACATAAGATGCGGAATTGGCACTGTATTGTGTTTTGCTTTGTATTCTTCAATTTCGTAGCCAAGTCTTCGGCTTCGTCTCCCCTCCATTGAGCAATGAGTGCCTCTCCGTAGTTGAATATGCAAGTAAGTTGTTCACGATTCGTGGCCGCCAACTTGGTCAGATCCTGCAACCATAGAAGATCTTCCTTGGCATTTTCGGGCTCTTGGAGCGACAACAACAGCTCTGCTCTGGTAAAGTCTAGCTGACACGCGGTTTGCACATCTGCTGGCGATATGACTTCTTTTACTGGTAGACGGCCCTACTTTTCCGATTGGTCGAGTTCGGCCAGTGCCTCTTGTCTTAGAGTAATCTTCTCGGATTTTGATGTCTTGTGATTGCTGGCCCTTGCAGCCAAGAGTCGTGCCTTTTGGAGAATGGAGTCTTGGACATCCGGTGTATCGGCTCGACAGGCCGGACAGCTCAATTTGTGCTTCTTACTTGATGCTTGTGCCACAAAGGGAAATGGTGGGGTCGTGGCTGCATTATTCTTTACTGTTTTTTGCCATTCCGCCAAACAGCTAAAGCAAAAGGCATGTCCACACGAAGGCAAAACATATGGATCCACCATTGGATGACGCAGACAAATGGCACAGTCCTGTTTGTCTTGCCCCTCCTTCAATTCCCCAGTAGCTTTGATGCTGAATAGCTACCACCCTATTGAACTATCAACCAATATGGAAATAATGCATAATAACTATAACCACTATATAGAGAAACTTGTCGCAAACGAAGTTCACTTGAATGGTCCAAGCCTCCTTCCCAATAAATGCCACACAGTACCGGTATCAGTATCCGCACATTTGAATATGTTTGCGAAGCAAGAACATGTAAAATAGACTGACGTCTGTCTGCTATACGTGTAGCCATATCACCCAGTTCGACTCATTTGACTAATTGTAAATCTGGAAACACAATAGAAGCATACCGGTACCAGTAGGTATATAGCAGCACTGCGTGTGTGTGTATATCGAAAGGCTTTCAGGCAGGATCGATATGGATACATGGTTTTAGATCATGTATAAAAGTTAGTAAGTGATGTCAAGAGAAGAGATCTCTGGACATCCTCTCTTCTTGAGGTCATTATTAGTTCTCCCATTCTCCCTTCTGTAGGAAGAAGACTGCGGAGCTCATCATCAGAGTTGTGGCCTATTGGAATGCGACATTGCTTTCACATGGCGACGGCGAGCTTTTTCGGCCTCGAGTGGAATATTGGGCACCAAAAACCTATTTCATCGTCATCTTGGTGCATTTTCCGTTGGACTTCCCACTTGAATTCATGTTTGATCTGAATTGCTAAAGGCATGTGATTTCGCTCTTTATCCGTACTGTAATGTCATCATGAACGTTGAAGGCTTCAGGGAAATGCCATGCAATTGAAAAACAGCGAAGATAGATAAATCATTGCGTAGGTCACCATCGCCTATTTCAGCTCTACTCAGCTGCTCTTTACTTCTGGCTCTTCACCTACAATTTCACGATACAGCTCAAGGACTTGTTCATGATGCTGATCATCCCACGGTGCCTCATAGACTAAAGCTCGAGCCATTGTCACTTTGGCAGCATCCATGTCTCCCATTGCCTTTTGACTGAGCGCAATGTACTTGTGGCAAAACGGAAAGTGTCGATTCATTTCCAGGACCACTTCTCCTGCCGCCAAAGCCTTGTCATACCTCTTGAGGTGATAAGCAACACGGCACATTCCCATGTACATCTCTCGTTGTTGGGGAGGGGTTGCTGTGGTATGGTCAGTCATGTTCTCCATCATTGCAAAGTACATTAACTTGGCAGCTTCCCAATTCTCCATCATTTCTTCGGCTCTTGCCAGCATAGCATAGACATCGAAGCTAAAGTTCAACAGTGACAAAGTATTGCGCTTTGCTTTATACTCGTCCAGTTTCTGAAGCACCTCTTCGGCTTCGTCTTCCTTCCCTTGTGCCGTGAGTGCTTCTCCTTGCTTGACCATGGAATTGAACTCTTCACGATTCGTGGCCGCCAACTTGGTCAGATCTTGCAACCAAAGAAGTTCTTCCTTGGCTTTTTCCGGCTCTTGAAGCGACAACAACAGCTCGGCTCTAGTAGCGAGTCGCTGGCAAGAAATCTGCACGTCTACGGGAGTCACTACTTCTTCAACTGGTGGACGGCCCTTCTTTTCCAATTGATCGAGTTCGGCCAGTGCCTCTCGTCTCAGAGTAATCTTCTCGGATTCTGATGTCTTGCGATTGTTGGCCCTCGCTGCCAAGAGTCGTGCCTTTTGGAGAATGGAGTCTTGGACATCCGGTGTCTCGGCTCGACAGGCGGGACAATTGAGTTTCGGCTTTTTGGATTCGTCTGGTAACGAGGGATATGCTGGTGCGGCTGCGTTATTCTTGACCGTATTCTGCCATTCCGCCAAACAGCTAAAGCAAAATGCATGTCCACATGAAGGCAAAACATATGGATCCACCATCGGATGACGCAGACAAATGGCACAGTCCTGTTTGTCTTGCCCCTCCTTCAATTCCCCACGAGCTTGTGGGATTTCTCCATCTCCCAAAGTCAGCATTCTGGTCTTGAATTTATTCGTATCCATACAATAAGTCTTGTGTTCTACCACCCAGTGCTTTTTTTGACAAGCGACGCTGCAGTAAAAGACAGTGCGACACTGAGAGCACCGTTTCTTGGGCGCTAAAACATTGCAATCAGGACCGTCACAGGTAATGTACTCTCTGCCAAATTCTAGTGGTGGCGATTTCGACATTGTTGTGATTGATAAGACAGTCGACTGGCAAGTACGCAAGCAATGTGATGATGATGATGATGATGATGATATTGTGTTGTTGTGGAGCTACCGGTATACTATATTATTCTTTTGAATGACGAAACTTCAAGTAATAAAGAAATGCCCAAGTCGACTCATTAGACTTCGTCTCAAAGTGGTGCAAAAAGGGTGTGTAAATCTGATGGCTTTCAGGCACAAGGACCGATATGAATCGCCACTTCAAGAGATATCTTCTGTCGACACCCTCTCTTGAGGCCATTATTTGTTCTCCCATACTCTCTTCACGAAGACTGACCTCAGAGGAAGTGAGGACTCGATACTCCAACAAAATGTTCCATTTCTAGTATGACTATTGTACGAGTAGGTGACATAATGTAAAAATAATTAAAAATACTTTTTAAAAAAGAACACCAATCTTCAGCATTGATTGGTGTGCCGTACCAGGTAGGTAACGCGGTAGACGGTAGGTAGAAGAAGTGCTCATTCCCTTTCATGTTTGGTATCCAAGACAGAGAGGGTGACGACATCGAGACCTGCGCGAGCCATACACATGGTACAACTGCTCGTAGAATCGTAGCCTGCCTGTGAAACGCGATATGTTCTGTTCCCAGATACGTGTTTTGTCATACCGGATACAAATCACATACTGTACATGAAACGACAGGCTCATTAGTATTTTATTATACACCTTCTCATTTTCTGTATAACGACTGACTGAAACGTACAGTATCGAGATGGGGAAGAAACCAGCACCCATGTCGGAAGATGAAGGAGACGTTCCCTTGCATCCTCCACTGAGGTCCAATTCTCAGGATGCGGCGTCATCATCCTCCTCACCAATAATGAGCACTCCAAATCAACCTTCTGTCAACACACCACCAACGCCTCAATCATCTCGAACCAGACGCAGTCAAGAAGCCCGGGCAAAGATGGAGGGCATGCCAAGTCCGGGTGGAACTATGAAAGCCAGAGCCAAGCTGGGCGACCACGAAAAGGAGACTGGTGCCGGAGTGGTGGCCAGCAATAAAGAGGAGTGTGCTCCCAGTCGCGCAGTCACAGACAATAATCCAGACGACTTCCCTCATACCCTCAACAAGACGCCCTATCCAGAATCGAGTGAATATACTAGTCGCGACAATATTGGGGAAAATCAGCAGCAGCATCGTCAAGCACAAAACAACGATATCATTGGGCACGGCGCCTTTGCGATTCGTAATCCTAGTGGGAATAATGATGTTAATACTTCCATGGTGGACAATTTGATGGAGCCCCAAGAGTCGGCGCCAGGTTCCAATGGGTCGGTCAAAGGCTTGTTAGTTGCTGCCGAAGTAGCTTCCACGAACCGTGATCGAGAAATTCAAGAGGAGGCCGAACGATTGCGACAGCAAATATGGGAAATGCAGCAACAAGGAGAGCAACAAGAAGTCGTCGTGGCCGTTCCCGCGGATGACGAAAAGTCGGCGCCAGAGGAGGTACCAGACGAAGCCGCACAAGCACGAAGACTTCTGGGCAAGATTGTGGCCTTTTGCCTTGTTGTGGGTGCCATTGCAATTGCTGTAATTTTCTTAGTTCCACCCTCGGAAGAACCCCCAAAACTTGTCTCGGATCTACCTTGTGTCTCGGAAAGCGAGGTTTTCCCGCTTGGTCTCTGTGTCGGAGATTGTGACAATGATGTGCGTGGTATAAGTATTCTCTTTGCATTTTGTGATATGACGTATCTCACACTCATTTCCATGATTGTTTCGACTAAAAAAATAGGAAGACTGCCAAGACGGATTGGAGTGTTTTCAACGAAATGGAGGCGAAGCTGTGCCGGGCTGTAGCTGTGGCCAAGACGATTCCTCCCGAACCGATTATTGCGTGGCGATTAACTTCCCTCCAGTCATTGAGACCAACAAACCGCCATATGGTATCTGTCAGGGAGATTGCGATACCTCTGCAGATTGCCAAACGGGCCTGATTTGTTATCAACGATCGCGAGGAGAACCCGTTCCAGGGTGTTCTGGCGGTGAAAACGACGCGAGCAACAATGACTACTGCATTGATGGTGGCCCTTTGCCCTTCCTTGGTGTCTTTGGAGATCGGCTGATTGGATCACCCGATGACAATTTCGGAACTTCGGTGAGCATCTCGAAGGATGGCACGATTCTGGCCGTTGGAGCACCCGAATTGGGGTCAACCGGGTATGTCGACATCTATAGCTCCCTATCCAATGCAACCGAGTCTGCCATGGCATCTTGGACCTTGATGGCCACGATACGTGGTGATGCGATTGGAGAGGCATTTGGTTCGATAGTGTCACTATCAGGAGATGGAAAGACTGTGGCAGTTGGTAGTGTGTTGGAGAATAGAAACCCAGATGGAAGTCAATTGAATACAGGAAGCGTCCGAGTCTTCCAAGCATCGGATGACTTGAAGAACTGGGTCATGATTGGAGAGGAACTGATGGGAGACGAATACGAAATGGATGGTGACAAATTCGAATTTTCGATAGCTCTTTCCAGTGATGGAACGTATGTGGCAATCGGTCAAATGTACTCGCCAACGGGTCGGGGAACCCTACTATTTCGCAATGACAATGACAATTGGATGTTCTGGGGCTCTCCATTTTCAGAATTCCGCACTGGGTCTGATGTCACACTTGCAACTGCCGCTTCTGGTGACCTTCGAGTGGCTATCAATGGAGAGAATAGTGTACTTGGCCCAGGACAGGTACATGTATCAGAGTTAGGAGTAAATGGAGAATGGACCGAGATTGGGCAATCACTTGGTGAAAATGACGGTGCGGCGATAGCCTTATCGGATGATGGAACAATCATGGCTCTGTCGATTACGAATCGAACAAGCAGTTTGGGTGACAGCGGTCCAGAGCACGTAGCTGTTTATCGATTAGACAATTCCTCTTTGCCCACGAAGTGGTCACAAATGGGTGTACTGATTCCAATTCCAGGCGGAGATGTATCCAACGAGCCCTCGATTGCTCTTTCAAGTGATGGATTCTTGCTTGCTATTGGTGAGCCATGGCACGAAGATGTTGGCCGGGTCCGGCTGTTGTCGTACAACGAGCGAATAGACAGATGGGAGCCATTCGGCGACCATATTATTGGGAATGCCTTTGGTGGTTTCTTTGGCGCTGCGATATCTCTTGTAGAGTCACGTGACCAGTCCAAACTTGCTGTCGGCGCTCCATCTTCTCCCTTGAATCGAGGTGCGCGTGGCGCAGTGTCTTGTTATCAAGTGCTATTGGAAGAAGACGAAGCTGCCGATGCGACCTTTTCACCAACGCCAACACCAACCGCATCTCCTGTGGTGTCTTTTGAAGAGGTAGTCTACCTGAAAGGGAAGGAAAGTCGCGAGGCCATTGGTACCTCACTAGCACTTTCAAGAGACGGCAAGTCGTTTGCATACACAATACAGACTCCAGATGGACTGGAGTCAGTAAGGACTATCAAGTATGACTCTTTGGAGAATCAATGGGATGATCTTGGGACTATTTTGGGCGATGAAGTCGGTGCGGACTTTGGTCGTTCGCTCTCCTTCTCGGGAGACGGCTCTATTCTTGCTATTGGAATTCCGAAAAGCAGCAACGGAACAATAGTTAACAAAGGAAGAATTCGAGTGCTAAGTCACAATGGAACTTGGAACCAAATTGGTGGCGACATCGTGCCCAAGGCTGAGGAACGATTCGAATGCTTTGATGGAGTGCCTGTCCCAGACGACGTTTTCTGCCGGCAAGATGATGCTTCAAACATCGATGGAGGTAACTTCGGATTTTCGATTTCAATATCTGAAGGCGGGTCGATTCTAGCTGTGGGCTCACCGTTTGGATACGACGAAGCTGGACAAGTTGATATCTATGAGTTTCAAGCTGGAGATTGGATCCAAGTAGGAGGCTCCATCGTTGGGCCCAAAAGTCAATATGGTAAACTTGGTTGGTCTGTTTCCTTGTCAAGTGATGGCCTCCGTGTCGCAGCTGGAGCTAGAACAAATGGACAAATAGTGGAAGAGGCCGGAGCAGCCCGAATCTACGAATTTCAGGGCGGTTCATGGCAACAGATCGGAGAGGATATCTCTGGTCTTGCTCCGGGTGACCGCTTTGGAGGTGCCATATCACTCTCGGCTGACGGAGAAGTCGTTGCAATTGGCAGCGTGAACAATGATAACGAGAATGGAAATAATGCTGGTCACGTCCGGGTGTACAACTATTCTCCTGAAACAAATTGGACACAGATGGGCAAGGATTTGACCGGTATAGAGGCTGGCGATCAGTTTGGCTCAGCTCTTTCTTTATCTGGTACTGGCAGAAAGCTTGCAATCGGTTCCCAGTCTGCCGGTTACATTCAATTGTTTGACTACGATAACGACAACTCGTATTGGCGCCAGACAGGCAACCCATTGACGCGTCCAAGAGAAGCTGGTGGGGGATTCGGTTCCAGTGTGTTGCTTGCTGAAATGGGCGATGGAAGTTTGACTGTCGCTGTTGGATCACCGTTGGTGACGACGCCCACGCAACTTTTCCAACCGGATTCGGTGATTGGAGAAATTCATGTTTTTAAATATGGGATATGATAAAATGTCTAAAACCACATATTTCCTTCCTTAGTCCTGGGGTATACCCGACCCTATCGCTTTTTCCTGTTCCTTACTGGCACCATCAGTGGACGAGATAGACAGAGCGATTCAAGAGTAGGTACTACGAAAGTGTCTTTCGAAACTTTTCGAAAGGATAACAAACCATGAAAGAATGCATCATACTATAGCTTCGGCAACTGATGAGCTACAAGTACCGTGCTGTTGAGATTGTTTGCTACTCGTAATCGAATTCAGCGAAAAATCGGCGGACTGCATCTAGTTCTGGAACAAAATGAAGAAAAGACCAAAAGAGAATCAGACAACTTGGTTACTTCAGCGTCCGATCGGAGCCCGATCGGACAAGATGTTGATAAGCTTCATTTGCTGTGCGCTATCTGAGAGCTGTGGTCGATTTGATTTATATGTACCATCCTTTGTCTAACGTGCCATCGAGACCCGCAAATGAAAAATGAAAGAAACGAGTGACATGGTATTAAAATACTCCAAAAGCTTCTTTTTCGATATCAATCGCAGTAAACTGGCGATGAAACGCTGGCGATGAAACCATCACTGGCGATGAAACCATCACTTGAATACATATTTTCCTTTATTGGACGGCTCTGTGGTGGGTCCTCCGAGAACATTGTGCTTCCTGATTGTAAGAGGACATGGCACCTACACCAGCTGCATGGACGCCTCGAAGAATCAAACTCGGCATTTTCCTCCTTTGCAGAGATGCTCCAAAGCCGCCAATTCTTTTCCCTTGTTATGTTGCCGCCGTCCTCCATTGTTTAGTGCACCCTTGCCAGCTTCGAGTAGCTCCAGGGCTGATGTTCTTGGCGATTGACTTTGTCGCTGCCGCCGGTGTACTTGAGCAAGGGTCAATTCATCAGCCCTTTTTCTAAAGTCATCGTCGACGAGGTGAGAGAAGAGTTCCAGCCCGCTAACAGTCTCCAATGTCGACCATGGAACCAAAAAGTCTTGCAAGACGGATGGATCGTCCTTTGTTTCGCTATCTGTGTCACTTTGTGTCGGCCGATTGGCCATGACAAAGCAAGCAAACTTTTCAATGTGTCCATTACCAGTGATCTCGTCTTTGGCAATCACAACGATAACTTTGAAAAAGTGAGTTGGGACAGCGACAAGAGATGGTGGTTTTCCAATGCCAAGATAACGGTACTCCAGCGAAGCCGAAGGATTATGATCATTATTGGAGAAATGTGTAGGCATCCACAAAGGACCCGTCAGGACATGGACCTGACGACGTCCAATTGAATCACCTGCATCTTCCTCTTGTAATTCCACAATCCTTGTTCGGACCCAGGCTTCCAACTTACTCCATAAGCCACGGTTTAGACTGGCATCCTGTGGTGAGATATTGCACAAATTATACGTCTGCATTTGCTCTTTTATTAGCTGCTCTTCGATCCGCTGTTTCTGGTCCTTATCTTGGATAGTTCGATTGGAACTAAAGTCGGCCGCTGGCGCCATGTGTCCACGATCCCAACCACTGTGCTTGTAATCGGATGGTCTGGATCGCATGTTGGTAGGGATAGATTTTTCTTCAAAGAAATTCGGCCTTCGATTCCGACCAAGTCGAAAGCTTCGACCACTGGTAGTACCAGCGTGATAGTTGTCCTTGTCCATGGCCGTGTAGAGCACATCCTTTTCGAGTACATAAATCGGATTGCGGGTCCGAGTACAAAAAGCAATTTCCAAGTGTGGGTTTGGTCGTAGGATTCGATAGGGTAAGGTAGGCGAGAGGATGGATGGAATGTGCTGCTGCTGGTGCTGGTGTGCAACATGGTGACTGGCTTCACAATGCGATGTGTTTCCTTTTTGTAGAATCGGTCGGAAAAAATGGAAGCCACGTTCTTCACTGATCTGACCGCTAATAAAGTTTCGTAAAAGAAGATATTCTGCTTCGCTGTCTGGCTGCTCGTTGGAGGATAAATAGTGCGCGACTGATGCCGTTCCCAGCATCAAACACGTTGATAATCCCAATGAAACGGCATTGTTTGTCCTCCAAGGAGACTTGAACGAGCGTCGCCGTAAAGATGATGAATTTCCTTGGGCTTGAGAATGGTGATATAGTCGACTGATCAGTTTCCTGCAAACATCCTTTTGTTGGGGTGCAGATCTCTTTACTCTCGCCAGCACCATCATCCATTGCATATTGGATGCAAAGAAGTACAGTATTAATCGGATAAAGTCAGCAATGACGTATGTTGTCCGGCAGAAACGCCATCTTATCCGCAGTCAAATTCCAGGTCCCACTCCACTCGTGAGACTGATTGATTATTTGTTGCGAACCCGGAGAATACTCTTTGCGGTTCATAGTTGCTGCACGGTGTAGGTAGCCACCATCTCTGACCACAAGTTTAGTGGACTTTTATGTTGCGCGAGTATATATCAGCTGCCCAACGTGACTAAACGAAGTAGCATGCTGCATAATAAGGCAAGACTCTATTACTCCCCTCAATACTTAGTATCTACCGTTGCTCCTCATGGCCTTGCTCCTCATCTTCTGTTGAAAATTTCCAACCAAATCCCCCCGCAGACTTACTGCCGTTTCGGCCATTGCAACAATAACTGATTCCTGGAGTGGTAATCCCAACTGCTTTGCCGGCATCCGTTATTGTATCAAATGTAGCAATCACTCGTCCTGTCTTCAAGCAGAGCTGATCAATCTTACGACGGCCTTTGTTCTTTCTTGGCAGTGCCGTTGACCCTTTATATCGCCAAAAATAGCCATGCGCGGAGTTGTATCGGCCTTTGCAGACTGCCGTTATCCGAGAGGCACTGGCATCTTCGATACCGCGTGATGCATCCGAAATGGAGTCAAAGGTGTTCAGAATCTGTCCCGTTTGTAAATCGAGCTGCTCTATGGGTTTCTGCCCTTGGTCATTCTTCCATTCATATTCTAGATGCTCAAGGCGATGTCGCTCAGTTTTCCCGGAATCAAATTCAATTTCGTGTTCGCCAGAATCGGAACGGAAACTTTTGATTTTGCCTTCAAGCCACTTGCCATCCCCTTGCTTGATTCGAAGACGCTTTCCAACCACTGCTTCGCCTGAGCTTAAGGGCTTTCTCAGTACACGATATCGCCAATAATACCCCAAGTAGAAACCCTCTTCACGGCAGTATCGGCAAATAGAACTCCAGCAGGACTGATGCCCGAAGAAGGCTTGGGCTTCTTTCTCGGTGAGGTCAAGGCCAAATATATATAAGTCGGGTGGATTATAATTGTTGAATGGAGAGAATTTCAAACTTACCTTTCGAATTCTTGAAAACCTTCAATACTTTGCCATCTCGTTTTTTTCTAATTTCCAAAAACTTGCTTCCGCCCATTAGTTGATGTGACATAGAAGTAGAGCCTTTCCATCGCCAAAAGAATCCATTTGCGGTTCCTCTCCCGTCGCCATTGCAGACATCTCGAATGCATCCACGGTTCATAGGCATACCCATTGCCCGTTTTGCTGCAGCCAGTGATTTAAAAGAAGCCAACACCTCCCCACTCTCGGGGTCCAGCTGTTCCACTGGATTCAGATTTGTTGGTTCCGGATCTGGCCATGGCGCATGTGTCTCTCCTTGGTATCTCCAAAAAAAGCCACCACCATTTGCCTTACCGCGTCTCTCCAAAACTCGCTTTATCACAACCCGACTGATGCCAGTTGCTTCATGCGCTTTTCTGCCAGAAGAAAAAGTCTTGATAATTTCACCAGTCTCAAGATCGACTTGCTCTATTGGAACTCCTTCCTTGACCCCTTCTCCAACACGTAATATTCGGTCTTTGGATCCTTTGAATCGCCAGTAGTAGCCCCTGTGCTCGCGATCGTCCCTTCGTTTGGATTGACAAGCTTCGATAATACGAGCAGCCTTGAAACCAGGCACTTTTATTGAAGCCGCTGAAGCTGATGAAAATTCCAATTCGACTTCTGCTGTCTTTCTTGATAATGCTTCAATGGCTTTGAAGGAATCATGATCTGGAGAAAATGGTACAGGTGCCGACCTGATGGGAATCTTGCACAAGGGGCACTTTCCGTGACCATGCATATGATCACCAATGCATAGTTCACAGAAAATATGGTGACAAGACGTTGCATAGGGAGCATCAGTGCATGTCTTGCAATGTGCGCAAGGCTCCTCACTAGCAGGGACAGAAGCTGGTTCCGTCTCGTTGTCCTGCTGAATTTCTCGCTCCACACGGGAAGTGGAATGTGCGCCAGCCTCTTGAGGGATAGATTCTTGTTCCGTTTCATTATCATGCTGCATTAACTGCTCCAATTGAGTACTATTATGAAATCTGCGTTTGATGGGGCGATCTCCCTCAAAAACAATTTCTTCTTTTCGTTTCATTCCATTTTGCCGTTCCACCACAACATCCAAAAATGGATGAATGTGTAGATTGAGCCACTCTTTCCCTCTGCTTTCCTTATCATACTTGACTTTATGTGGCCTCACTCTACCGGGCTTGATCTTGACTACAGTTGCATGATAATTTTTCTTTCGTTTCTCATCGTAGACGGCTACTCGCGATCCAACCTTGAGCCCCTCAGACTTTTTTGTAATTCGTTTGAACTTGCGAAAAAGAAGATCAGTCCATTCTATATCTCCGTCGTCATATTTGATACGATGCCGACCCTTTTGTGCAGATACATCCCTTTTCTTAGTTAGGGATCCAGCATAATATTCCTTCTCATACGGGAAATAAACAGAAATTCTTGATCCCACTTCAAGTTTATTGATAAGTGCCTCTTTTTTCTCATCTATTAGTGTATTCTCCTTGATGCAGTTATGTAATGATCGTCGCCACTTGTCCTCCTTGGCGTTTATTTCTCCTTCATCGCCATCATCATACGATATCTTGAATCGATCATCGTCTAATTTCTCCGCCACAGTTCCCTTGTACCACTGATCATCGTCAGGCCAATAACACGTGATTCTCATCCCAGTCTGAAGGACTTCTGTTTGTTCATTGGAGCTCATTGGCCCGATTGGAAGTGGAAAATTTCAAAAAAGGTTTGGATGCAATAGGCAAGAGAGAGGATGCTGAACAAGTTCAGAGTTGTTGTGGCGGTCGTGAAAACTGGAATGCGATGGACACGATATGATGATGTCGAAATTTGAAAAGCGTGATTTTTTCAGCAGCCAATGAGAGTTAGTCGAAAAATGCGACTGAACATAAGATGCTTTACTAGCAAGTGTTGGATGTCTGTGGGAGCATCAACATTAGAATCATCAACTTATATCGCTTGTGCCATACTCTCAACTTGAAACTGTACCCAATATTGAATATGGAGATGAGTGCTGCAAAGGATCATATCCTTACATGATGATGTTCAAGCGGGTGTTCGAAGGCGGGTGGTGATTTCGTATAACTGGTCGCATGAGTCGTTTTTGGGTTTGAGGCACTGTATGTATTTTACCACTCTCTAGCTATTAGAAAGCGTGACTATTGCCATGATGCACTGAAATCAGTGGTGGAGGTAATGGTACAGCTAGAGCGTTATTCTCCCTTTTCACAGAAATAATGTTGATGCTATGTATCGATTCATGTTGGTCGATTTTGGGCATCGACCTTTTGCGTGCCATCAGGGTGTCTCCGACAGTTTTCCCCTATCTTAGTACTGAAGTAGACGCGATGGCTCTAGAGAGAGTGGTATTTTACCATTCGCGCGCACAAGAGAAATGTGACGCATGATACGTGGTTTTGCATGCTCGCTCTCTGCCTGGTTTGTGATGGGCAGTTTTTCTACCGTACCAGGTAGGATTTGTACGCGAGACGCGTTTCAGAAGGTCATCATCATCACATCTTGAATCTATCGCAAGAGTTTCGAGTCATGATCTACTGCATAAAACAGACGCGCCAAGCCCCTCGCTTTTGTTTGATCATAGTATCAAATAACAGATACCATGAATGGTCACGGTAGAACAACAGAAGACGGAGACGCCCCTGCTATTCTACCTCGTAGAGTTGATCAGGATCAAGGCCACGAGAGTGTTCCTTCCATGAGAAGCCTCAACAATGGAATCACACCACCTTTGGCATCTCCCAAACAAACGCCAGCCATGGGAATAGCGGTTTTTCAGTCGCTTCCCATACGTCCCCCTGAATCAGACATGAAACCACTTTCCATTGCTGAATCATCAGTGGCAACAGGTATTGCTAATTCCGTTGAGAACCGGCAAATGAGTAATGATGATGGAGACGAAGCCAGTGTAGCCACTACTATCACTGAACCACTAGCTGTTGAAGATAGTGGCATGAGAAAGAGTGACGCAACGACTCAATCAGATACTGATGAAGGTGTCGATACAAATAATGATCACGCCATGGAATCAGAAGCGGTATTCTGTGAAGATACCAACGATGCCGTGGGTGCAAATGATGAGCATGATGTTTCCATGGATGATTCCACTGAATCGACCGTGGAATCGAACGCTGAAGAAAACTTTCCAGCAAACGGCGAAAATACTCAAGAGCAGGACGAAACAAACATTCTAGAAGAATCTGATATGCTGGTTGATCGACATCAAACTGAAGAAGATAATGCCAAAGATGATGGTACCTTGGATGCCACCGCGGTTGCTGAAGACGTTGAAGAACACAAGGAAGTACAGGAAGATATCAATGAAGAATCAGATTTATCTGGCAACCCAGACGAGGGCATTCCAAGCGAGCAAGAAGACGAGATTCCTAGAGGTCCCACCACCGGTGATGCCGTTTTGGATATCGCCGAGGACGAAATGGATCTTCCACTAGGAAAAGTAATCCAAGAAAAACAAAAATCAGCTCAGCCTCTGAAAGATGATGCACAAGAGTTGCAAGGTGAAGGATCAGTCGTGGTGGCTACTATTGAAAGAAGCCAACCTGAGGACACCGATATCGATATCGTGAAACCACATGAAACGGAGGCGGACAAAGAAGTGGAAACAAGCGCAACTCCGAAAGAATTGCAAAATGAGGAACCAGTTGAAATTGTGGAATCAACTCCTCTAGATCCCCTTGGAGGGGTGCCTGGTGCGGAGCCAAGCGGAGCAGAATTCATCATCGCTAGTGGTGATGAATCATCACTCAAGGCAGAAAAGGAAGATGATGGAGTTAGTGGCGTGGCTCCACCTGCTTCGGACTCAAGTGACGTCATAAACGACGGTCAAGAAACCTTAGAGCATGATCCCAACTCTTCGCAGTTGGACAAGAGCGAAACTGTGTCAATGGATCCAGAAGAAACTGTTGGTGACGAGGGAGTTAGTGCGGTACGAAACTTGAAGCCACACCAGGAAGCCCAAGGCAGCGAAGAGCTACCGGCAACCCTAAAACCAAAGTCCTCAGATACAGCCCCACCTACTGATTCCAGTAACAAAGTTTCGTCCTTGCCTTCCACCTCGGGCAAAATACGAGTTCCTCGAAAGAAAGGATTAGCCTTAGCTTCAGGAGGAAGCGATGAAGGAGATGAAGAGAACGGATTCGATGCCGGGACCAATGCAGAAATTGTCGAAAGAAAGAGACCCGCAAACGATGGAAACTTATATACTCTGCGCAAGCCCGATCGCCACCTAAAAAATGGTGGGGCAGAAAATGACGAACATGCGCAAGCTGCTGCAAGCGATGATGCTGGTGACGAACAGAACCTTTTTCAAATTCCCAGAGCTTTCATTGTCCCGCCAAGCCAACATGAATTGGTGGAAACAAATTATTATTCGGACGCCGAAGGTAGTGGACTGACTGAAGCTGAAACCGTCACGACTGCAGTTTTGGCAGAAGAGTACAATGAAGACGAGCCGGAAGCAAACCGATTAGAAAACGAACGGTTACGACGAGAAGTTAGGAGAAGGGAACGTGAAACTGCCGCTGTTGTTGTTGCTGTCCGATCGAACCAAGATGGTGACGACGGCCAGAAGGGCAATGTTGAAGTAGGGTCCTCAACACGAAAGCTTAAATGCTTGGCATTATTTCTGCTATTGATTGGAGGTTGTGTTGCAGCTTTCTTCCTGCTTCGACCTGATGACTCGGAATCCGCCGTAACAGCTGCACCAACATCAGATCTTCCTTGCGTTCTGTTTGTGTCGGAAAGCCCTTTACTTCCTCCCTTTTCCGAGTGCCAAGGTAATGCAATATTCCGCGGGTTTTCTTGTTGTATGTCATGATACCGTGCTGATAACTCCTCGCTTGCTTCAAATCCTTCGTGAAAACAGGAGATTGCGATTCAGATTTGGATTGCGAAGACGGACTGGAATGCTTTCAAAGAGACGAGTTTGAGAGTGTGCCGGGATGCTCGTGTGGCGAAATTGATCCGAGCCGCAGTGACTATTGCGTGAAGAAAAAGGGCCCTCCACTCAGTATATCCGATCAAGTCCCTCTGGGCATTTGTCAGGGTGATTGCGACGAGGATAGTCATTGCGGATTGGGTCTGATTTGCCACCAAAGATCCGGTGGGGAACCAGTGCCGGGGTGCTCCGGAGGAGAGACCGAACAATCCAATACTGACTATTGCGTCAAGGACACCAAGGAAGAACCAGAAGAACCTCAATTTTTGGGTCTATGCGAAGGTCAGTGTCAAGATGACAGTTCTTGCGAACCTGGTCTCTTCTGTTACCAGCGAGACGAGATGGGCCAAGTCCCAGGGTGTACGGACATCGTCGAAAATGCCAGTGCCGATCGGTTCTGTGTCAGCGGGGTGTATCAAGTCGCTGACACCGACGAATTGCCGCTTCCTCTTTGCCGTGGAGATTGTGATGACGATGTAAGTTTTGATTTCACATGTGTGCCTGATTTGGTTGCTGCGATATGGCCCATTCACTCCTGATATTGCGACCGTAAAGACGGACTGTGAAGATGGTCTCTTTTGTTTCCAACGCAGTGGCGGGGATGGCCAACAAGTGCCCGGGTGCATCGGTGGATTGGAAGAAAGTAGCAACAGCGACTTTTGTATAAGAGAAATCTATCGCGAATTCATCCCCTTTTACCGCTGGGGCGACCGGCTGGTGGGATTGCCCAAAGAAAAGTTTGGTACTTCGGTTAGCCTTTCTGGAGACGGTCAAATCTTGGCAGTAGGCACCATTGATGACGAGTCTGTTGGTTACGTGGATGTGTACAAGGCCACAGAGTCAGGCGCAGCTCCGTCCACGCCGCCGTCCGTCATTTGGACGCAGCTGACACGTCTAATGGGAGAGGCTGTCGGAGAGGCCTTTGGCTCCAAGGTGGCCCTCTCTGCGGATGGCCAGACACTGGTAGTGGGAAACCTTGTGGACATTCCAACGACTGCTCGTCGAGCAGCCCGCATTCAAGTATTTCAAGCCAGAACTACTAGCCTTGGCAGCAATGACGCAGACTTTGGCAATTGGACGATTGTTGAGGCTTATTCATCGAACGGGAATGTCATTGACATGATTGGAGATGAGTATGACATTGACGACTTTGAGTTTTCCGTCGCCATTTCTGATGACGGCAAGTATGTTGCCTTGGGACAACCAAGCAATGGCGGTGAGAAACTTGACTCAATTCAACGGGGTCCATTGGTTTACCGAAAAGATCGCCAAGATGACGGCGCCGATGTGATGACATTTTTGGGTGCTCCGTATGCAAGATTGTATGCAGGATCCAGCGTTAAAATTGCCACGAACGCAGATGGGAATCCTCGTGTGGCAACAGGGGGTGACAATAGCGTTCGTGGCGATGGCCAGGTGCGAGTCAAGGAGTTGATGGCAGACTATAATAGTAACAGTATCAACCAGGTGCAAGTGCAGCCCGGGGATGAAACCGAGTCATTAGGATGGTTCGAAGTTGCTACCAACTCCATTGGACAAAGCGATAACACTGCGGTGGATATGTCGAGTGATGGGAACATTTTAGCGCTTGCAATCACAAATCGAACTTCACTCTTTTACGACAACGCCGACGGCACCGGGACCGAAATAGTCAGTTGGAACGGTCCGGAACATGTCATCGTCTATCGGTTTAAGGAGCAAGGAGTTGACGACTATTGGGACCAAATTGGGAATTTAATACCTGTTTCCACTAGCCAAGTGGAAGACATGCCTACGGTCGCCCTATCGGACGATGGTCAATTGCTCGTAGTCGGTGAACCCTGGTTCGATTTCAATACTGGAAGGGTTCGAGTTTTCAAGTATGCCCAACGGAGTGACCGGTGGGTCCCATTGCAAGCGCCACTGGTTGGACTAACAGTAGGAGAACGATTTGGCTCCACGCTGTCCTTGGTCGGCAGTGCAAGCGGGGAATCGGAGAGTTTTACCTTGGCCATTGGAGGTCCCAGTGAGGTTGGCCGTGGTTTGGTGGAGTGCTACCAAATATTGAACTCGTTGTTGTTGTCGGAATCATCCTCCGTCGCCTCGAAGAATCTGGAACCAAAATCGACGTCTCGAATCCAAGGAATCGCATGGGATCTTGTCTGGTCGCCATGAAATCCAAATGTAGTATCCTGGTATGATAGAAGTTGCTTATCTTGGAGTGATCCTTTTGCAGGATTCCTAGCTTAGTAGGACAAAAGTTGGTTTTATGTATCGGTGTGATCTTTGGGATAAAACCGCCATGTCTCACAATGATTAGTAGGTCGTTTCCAACCGAATTTGGAAAGTGGCGAACCTTTACAGTTCATGTAACAGAATGAGCAACGCTGATGCAATCACTGATTGTTCGATGCATTTTTTAAATAATAAATTCATATTGCACTATATTTATTTTTATATGTATCAAAATAGCAGTTGCTACTGGTCATAATGCCGTTTGGGAAGTGAAAAATTCGCACTCGATCAGTCGCGTCAAGCGAGATCAAGTTTTCCAAAATCGTGAGATCCAGCTAAAGGATCCCATGGAAAGAGAGGCATTAAACTTTCTCATTTACTCGGCTGTAATAGTTGAGAGGGAGGGAACTGTCTTTTTGGCAGCAGGCGTTTCAGGAGAGTATAGGTTAGCCTTGGAGTTGCGTGTTCGGCGTGGACTGGCCAAGGTTCGTGGCCGACGGCGTGGTGTGCCGCTTCCTGGTGTAGATGGTGCGGCTGGTGGTGGTGGTGGAACTTCGTCGTCGGACATTGTGAGAGGTTGAGTTGCTGAACAGTAGTAGCTGCTTTGAAAGTGGACTGAAGGTTTTATTCTTTTCAGAAGAAAATTATGAGATATTGAATATGAATGAATTCGAGTAAATGTTCGAATGTACTGTATGTAACAGTACCATACCTGGTACTGTACAGTGTGTGAAGGTTTTGCAATTCGACATTCACACATTCATCGCGGTTCGTTAGAAACGTTTAATCGGGGTTTCACTTAACAATTTCGGACAATGATAAATACATTTAGAGTCGTAGTTGCCATAAATGTTGCAATGTTTAGTGTGTACTCGTGCATTGAAAACACAAGACTTATATCCCTTTCATACATAGAGAGAAATAATAAATAGATGCGAAGCATGCATGTAAAAACTTTCCCTCCAACTTTTATTCCGCCGACACGGATGTTACCAGGTGTGAAACATACCGGTACATACAGTACACGTGTACCTGTGGCACGCGTCTTCCCGGCACGCAATGATGGTCACGGTAATTTCGTTGTTGGGAGGCACAGACTTTATTAGACCCAAAAAATCCTGGTCTCATCGCATTCTCAGATTATTTTATTTGTTTCACCAAAAGCTAGTCCTACCGGTATTATATACTTCATTGTAAAAACAAACGTACAGTATATGCAACAAGAGCAGGAACAATACAACGAGAAATCGTCTACAAAGTCACAAATACCGAAATATCATGAGCAAATACGAGTTACAAGCTGAGGCGTTACAAGCTTCTGGAATATCAGTAGAGAAGTCACAAGAAGCAATCAATCTTGCACCTTCCATATTTGATCGACTCGGAATTGACGGATTTCAGGAACTTTCTACCCTCTTCTACAATAGGGTCTTTGACGATGACGATCCTCGCTTCAAGAGCATATTTTCCAGTAGTACAAAGCTAGAGGCTATTGAAAATCAAGTACGTACTCTGCATTATTGATGTTTTGTGTTATTTTGTCACCCACGATTATGGAGTACCCTGGAAATGCTTTTGTTTTGGCATGACGCTGAAAGACCGATAACTCATTTTGTCACACTGTGCAATCATCCCATCACGCGCAGTACAGGTTTTTTGTACAGACATTCGGAGGACCCGATCTATACAGGTGAGAAATGAAAATTGGAAGATCACAGTTTGTTCGTTCGGGTTGTTTTGGTTCAAATGTTGATTGGGGCTTTACTCATTCTTGGGCATCAATCCATATCGTGGGAAGACAAACAAAAGGAAAGTATACAAGACTTGTTGGTAGACACGCAAACTACAGCATAGGAAAGCAAGCTGCGCATCGTTGGGTGGAGCATATGGAAGCAGCGATGGAGGAGCATTCTGTGTTGTCAAAGGATGAAGAAGCTCGCAAATGTTTAGTAGACTATTTCAAATACACTGGTAGGTTACAGCAGTAACGTCTTCTCAATCAAAACTAACGATGAAAAACAATCGTCTCACTTCTGCTGATTTTGACAGCTCAATACATTGTGGTGGCAAGTAAATTCATGAGATCGGATCAGGTGCGTTACTCAAATTTGAAAGGGATTCTTTGGTGCCTTATGATTGGCATAATAGGCTCTCATGATATCCCCGCAACCTTTTCTTCCACGAAAGCTGAGTGGGGGGACTAGTGTCGACAAAGGGCGTGTTTGGTAGGCAACAAAAGTACGGCGATATGATCCCAATAAGTAGTCGCAACAAGGCAATATAGCCACTGCATTCATCAAGAAATCCGATTCCATTGCATATCACATTGACACCGTAATGTACATCATCAACATATCTTTTGCATCATCTCCGCATTGCTAGGTTCCAACAGCTAGACAGAATTGAACACCAACGAATGACTGACTCAATCAATCGTGCCATGGCGAATACCACCATCAAATACTGGATGTCACAGATACGTCATGAAATTGCGTGTGGGTCGAGTCACGTTCTTTTCTTCTTCATGGACTACAACTTGTAGTTTGCTATTGAACTGTTTGTGTGTTGTCGCAACAGAAATATCCCACTCCAAAAGACAAGGCGATTAATTCATTCATTCCCACAATGATACCTCAAAGGTATCATCTACTCGCGACCTTGGTGCTTCGAATTTTCTTATGACAAGGAGCGACATTTTGGACGCACACAACAGCTAGCATGATCTTTGCTCTTGTACCACATTGCCACTCCAGTCATCAATCATGTTAGAATTGAGCCTATTGTTGACTTCTTCTGAAGTCACTGGTTCGCAAGTTGGTCCACCTCGCTACCCCGTTTCCAGCAAAGGCTGTAGTAGGTCTCCCTGTACTCCTTCCTCGCTTTGTCCTTGTTCTCCATCTTCATCCTCTTGGATCCCTTCCAACATTGGTCTCTGGACGCGTTCGTATTTGCATTCTTGATACTGTTCCTTTTCTGGCAATACGTACAGCATAAAGGTATCGACCACTGCAGTGGCCACGGCCAGCATTCCCAATGCAGTCGTAATGGTAATGATAAAATTTAACCAGGTGAACTGATGAAAGTTCCCACCCACCACCACTGCCACCTTGATGCCATGCGCACTAAACAAAACCCTCGAATTGCGGTAGGAACTGTAGAATGCTTGAGTCTCCTTATAGTTTGTGCCAATAATGCGAGCCTTGTAGTGATAATAGGGTTCCAGGATTCCCTGGTAGGGCAAAAAGTCATTCCAAAGGACGGTCAGCAGTATGGTGGCACCCGACTCGCGAAATGTGGTGCAGTAAGTGGTGCTGTTGTCGATCGTCGTGGTATTCGTAGAAGTCTTCGTTTCGATGACGCAATCGTCCAAGGAAGAGATTCCAGCCGACTTCAATAAAACATCCAACGTGAAGAAATCGTGGTGATTCGAGGTTCGGTTGGGGAGAATGTAGCACGGAGCCCGCGATATTCGTTCGTCACCCAAGGGATGGACATAGGCTCGTTGGCCGTTGGTATGGGCTTCTTGGCACAAACCATGATGCAAGGACAATAGTCTACCAGATCTAGGGAAATCTTCTGCTTGTGCAGAACAAGAGTAATGAGAATGCAACAGAGAGGTCGACGAATCAGAGCGCGACTGAAAGGATTGTTGCTTTTGAAACTTGGTCTCGCAAATGTGCGACGCCGTGGCAGCATGCTCGATCAACAAGGTAAACGCCTCGCTTTGTGCAATGTAAAAGGGTTTTCGATTCGAATCCGAGTCCTTTTCCGTAGTTTCGTAGGTTTGCCGGCAAGTGTTTTCGTCTCCGCTCCCACATACCAACGTTTGGTTCTTTGTCGTCGCACGAGTCCATACTACCATAGAAGACTCGCGCATGACTTGGGCATTGATGGCTTCGTAAATCTGGCAAGGAAATACAGAGCCCTTGTAGTAGTAATCAGAAGTCGAGGAGATGGAATCAATGATTGAACTTTCATCCTCCAGTTCGCGGATATCAATGGATTGTTCATCGTTCATCACTGACATTCGATGAGCTTTTCCTCGACTTTGCTCACAATAGGCCAAGGTATCCAGAGGCGCAAAATCGTTGGTACAATTCTCCTCAGTGCCTATTTCCTTGACAAATGTCGTCGTGGATGGACAATCACTCCCATGTTCCGGATGTTGCAGAGAAAATCGTACCGCTCCCACCACCCGTGTCGCTTCCAGATATCCTCCCATATACGCCATTTCAATAACACCCACGTAGAGTAGGATGCCAAGCAGAAGGATCAACCGCAAGCAGCCTAATCTTGAATCTTCTACCTTGACATATTTGACAGTTTCGTATGAGAACGAGAGAGGAAAGGAGCTCATCAATAGCTACATATATACGGTATGATGAGATATCCAGGTACAGTAGCGATGCGAGAACTTTGGTTCGTGAATTCGATTCATTCATCCGACCATCATTCGAAATTTAGCGGGTGAGGTACAGACTGCAAATCTTCAGAACTTATTGTTGCCGCATATATATTGCGACGATTGAATGCGCGATGAAGAATGAAGGATGACCTCTGCGACAGTGCCTATATAATACGGCGAAGAGGTTACAAGCAGGTATTGAAACATGCAGGTAAATGAGTACCGATACCATGTTGCCGGTTTGGTATGCCGCTTCCACCACTCTCCAATCCACACAAGCTTTGCTACTATCCTTCAACGACTGCCCAACAGCTCCACAACAACGCTGCATCGAGCACCATCAAAAATGCATGGAAGCATCGCTCCAGGATGAGCTCGGGATGACTCCATTCCATGTCCTCTGTTGGACTTGCGATCCAAGCGGAGAACTGCTGCAAGTCCTTCTAGACACGCATCCAGTCCATGTTGTGGACTGGAAAGATGCAAATGGCAAACGGCCACTGGAGTACTTGATCTCCAACTGGACCGAAACAACTGCATCGTTGCTTGAGTTGATACTACCAAAAGAGATGAGCAGACAACCTTTTTATGCCAATGTGCCCAACCGGAGTCCGGTCGGACAAGATGTTGATAAGTTTCAATTGCTGTGCGCTGTCTGAGAGCAGCGTTAGATTTGATTTATATATTTATTATAGCATCACTCGTCTAACGTGCCAGATCCAAATTGAGACTTGCAACGATGAGCACGGTACTCCAATAGTCTATTTTTCTGGTATTGCGGGAGAAGAAGAATACAATTAAGGACCACAAAGTGTTTTTATTTGGAAGCTCACAAGCAAGCTAGTACCACTATCGAAAAAGAGTATTGTTACATGCATATTGAATAAAATCTATAGTTAGTATAATATGAATGATGATACCTCGACGTGACTTCCTTCTTCCAGTATTCGAATGGCAATCTCATAATCCTCCGAACCCTCTCGATACTTCCACTGAAAGCCATCGGAACCCTTGAGAAAGTAGGTTCCGAGATCATGAAAGAGCATCAAGGATGTTACTGCTACTCCGTTCACTGTGATTTCAAACTTGCCTTGATCAAAGTCTCGCTTCGTCCCAAGAAAGCCCTCGGGACAACGATTCCATGGGCAAGTCAAAAATGCAATCCCAATCAATCCCTTAAACTCAGATGCCTTGTAGTCATAGGCTACCTTTTCCGCTTGATTAGGAATCACAATTTTGGCCCAATCGTCCTTTTGGTGTGCAAAAAAGAAGTCCTTGTAATCCGGACTCACAGTCACAGAGCAATCTTTGGCTCGTTGGTCTGGCTTGTAGACCAACTTGAGTGTCCCATCAAATTGAATGTTATTCACATCCATGGAGAGCCCCGTATCATAGGTTTCCTTTCCTGCTGGTACAGGACCACCAACCTTGGTGGTATCATTTGTAAGGTATCCCTTGTACCTAGTCTCGGATGGCAATCGTGCGGTATGACAAATGCCAGGTCCTTTGGAAAAGGTTTTGACAATGGACGCATCAAAATCCGCATCCGAGGCACATTCCTTTTCCAATTCTTGTTCTTCTTCCGAAAATTGCTTGCCGCACTTGTGCCATTCATGAACCTTATACGCTAGTTCTGGCAATTCGGCATTTCGAAAGGTTTCAAAATCTTCTTGTTCCTTGGCCATTAAAATGTTCAATAGATCCATTGGTTCTAGTACTACCGACTCGTGATGCTCCGTCTCCGTGGTGGGTTCCGTTTCAGTTTCATTGGTTGTTCCTTCTACACTTTCATCACTTGCCGAATGCGAATCATGAGCTTCCAATTGTACCGCCAATTCTTCCGCCGCATGGATCAGTTCTTGCACGACAAATAGAGCAATGGTGTGGCCGTCCAGTGCATGCATTTTGCTACAGCATTTCACAAAACCATTGGACAAGGAAACAAGGATTGTGTAAGAAATAAAGCACTCGCACTGCCATGACACCAACAAGTCATTGATATACGCATGCATTCAAGAGTACTTACAATCCTGGATGCCAACTGGCCTTTCCTGCGCGACTGTCACATAACCCCTTGGAATACTTGGCATCGTCACAGCCAAGATCTCCCTTTTCAATTCCCTCGGTACATTTGAAGGAGTTGATCATGGGAGGCAAATCTTGCATCTCCTTGAAATTGTCCATGTTGACCTCGGGTATCCCTTCGAATTGTTGTTTGCGGGTATCTTCGGGCAAATAAAATGCCGACGCTGACATTTCCTCAAATTGTTTTAGTAAATCCACTCGATGTTCTCCTTCCGCATGGAGTGCAAAGATGGCCGGATGATGAGGCAACAAATTGCCTCGAATCGCATACAGCAAGAGCCGAACCGGACTGTACACGTCCGTCATGCCAAAATCCCAGCTGAGCAAATCCACATCCCTTCCATAGATTTGTTCGACGCACAATCCCAGTTCGGGGCCACTTCCCGATCCGCCCATGGCAAAGTTGCGGACCTCCAAGGGCAATCCAATCGATTTGGCGATGCGGGACAAATCCCGTTCCAAAAAGGCCGTGTAGGATTCGTTGAACAAATTGCCATGTCCGGCGGCGGCCGAGTGACCCCCCGTGACCCACACCAGGGTAGCATTTTTGTACAATTGGTGTTGCAAGAGTTTGATTTTGAGTTTCCGTCGCAAGCGTTGGGTGGAAATGTCAACGTCTTGGCCTTCAGTAGTAGAAGAAGAAGAAACCGATTGAAAGCTCTTCAATTTGAGAAATGCCTTGTTGGTGGATACTGTGGAAGACAAAGTGTCGTCGTCCAAGAATATCTTTTCAAATGCTTCTTGTCCATAGTCTTGATAGAGCAAACTTTCAATCCACTGAGTCTGAGCCTCTCGAAGCTTGTCAAAGTAGATTGAAAATTCTTGATGATCCGCATGATGAGACGAATGATGGTCCACCACCCGTATGTTCCCAGCACCAGTCTTGTTGACGTCGGGGACGGTATTCTCGGCCAATATTCCTTGACTGAACAGACCCAAAAAGACAACGACCAGCGCAATGACCACCATTTTGGCCAAGCCGCTCGAAGGTTCCTCTTCTGTTCCTTCTTCAATCGTTGTGAGTTTCTTGTTTTTTCTGGTTAATCTGTTTTTCATTGTGACGATGATTGATTGATTGATTGATTGATTCGCTTGGTGATTGCCAGGAATTGTATGGAGGATTTTTCAAAGGATCGATGAAATGTTGGAAAGGCGCTGGTCTGCGGAAAGAGTTCGGATCAGTTGCGTATTGTTTCTTTCTGTGTTATGGTGTTGGTTACGTGCCTTCATCATCATCATTGCGTTTTGAATTTTAGCATTTTTGACCCAGTCGACTACCCTTTGCACGCTTACGTTTGTCCGCCGTCAGCACTGATGCATCACAAAACACAAACAACATCATCATCATCATCATCATCATCATCAACCCCACATACAAGCAAAGCAAGCGTCTTCGTCATCTCTCGACTACTTTCTTCTATTTTTCATTTCATTGCAACAATAGAAAGCAACGAATAAAGCTGACTTCATTGCATCCCCCTTCATATCTTCCGAGTCCACTAAATATACCACATCCACCGTGCGTATCCATCCATCCATCCATCTCCTATACTCCTATACTACAGTATCATCATGCATTCCTCTCTGCCACAACTCATGGCCCGCGGCAAGGGCAAGACAATTCCCATCAAGCTCATGAGCTCTGCCGGGACTGGCTTTTTTTACACTACCCGCAAGAATGTTACCAATACCCAACATAAAATGTCCTTGGTCAAGTTTGATCCTGTGGTCCGACAACGAGTGGTCTTTCGAGAGCACAAGATCAAGTAATACTTACTTATACTACTGTACTACTGTACTACTGTACTTATAATACTGTTTCAGTGGTGTGAGTGAAATATTGATATAACAAAGAGATGGCGCACACACAATGCTTTTTAAAGGAAGCAACGAGGACAGCATCATGTTCTCTTTGCTTTCGAAAATCAAATTATGGGAAGAATAATGAGGGAGTGCCATGGCAAGAAGTCACTCCTCCAAACTCTTTTGCGCTATTTTCATTTCAAAATGGGGAAAAGGATGGTAGACTTTGTGTCAACTTGTTTAACATAAATATATAGTGCAGCATATTTTGGATCTTGAAACAGTCACTTTGAACTTGTATTCTGACACATTGTGATAATGCACATCCATATGCATGTAGAACATCCTTTGTAGTCACTTGAAAGGCTACATTGTGCCCAAGTATAGTTTACAAGGATTGATGCATAGTATCATAATAACATCCCATTACTACTACAACTACTGCCATTCGGTTTTATACTTTAAACGATTTGACAGTCGCCTTTAGTTCCTGTTCCAATTGCTCAAAATTCTCTTGTTTGCATTGGGCCGTCAACACGTAAAGTTCATTCTTGTCAATAAAGATCTTGTTGATGTAATGTTTGTTCCCTCGTTTGCCGGAACTCAAATATTCCAACAAGTAACCACCATCGTCATTGGACACTTCTGGGTCTTTTAGCAAAGTAACTTCAAAGACGCCATCTCGATTGACTTCGGCCGTAACGACTCTGGCTGCCACCTCTTCGGGGGTTCCAAACTATATAAATACGATGAGCACGAAGCAAGCAGTGGTGAGTATGTTGTGGTTGTTGAGGACATGGATTGATTCCAAAACAAAGTGATGATTGATTCAGTCGCTGTTTTTTCTTTTTTTGCAAAACAAGATATAATTGCACCCACCTCCTTGAGACTGTTGATGCGGACTGGATCCACCGTGATGCCATATTGATATCCTCGAATCTCCGAATTTCCAAAATTGACTTCGTCTTGGTGCGTCTTGACGGGTTTGGAACCCTCCTTCATCGAGTCGGGAATTTGAATCCGGTAAGAGAATTTGGAATCGGTGCGATCAAAGGCATTCGCAGGAGTAGTAGTAGTAGCAGCTCCTGTGGTGCCAAGGACAATACCAGCAGCTGATGCAATAGTAGTGGTCCAAAATTGCCTTCTAGTAGTAGAAGCTGATAATTCTAGCTTGCTATCGTCGTTGTCTCTGCTTGAAGGATCGGCCCCATGATGATGATGATGATGATGATGATGATGATGATTGATGGTCGTAGATGATGATTGGACTGTCAGTGAGGAGGATGATGATGACGATCCATAATGTGCAGATTTGGATGGCAGAAAAAATGAATTGACTCCTACTGTCGAGAAGACTAGCAACAATATCAGTGATGATACCGATTGGAGGAGTCGGCTGTGATGGACCATGATCTTCTTGCTATTGTTGGAAGTTGAACGACTGACGCGATGTTGTAATGTTTGTTGCATTTCCATCACTGCCATTAGGGGGTGGAAGGCACTCTGCACCCATAGTGTTTACCCCCGTTTTAAAAAGCATCAAAAACCGCAGAAATTCCAGTCCAATCCCGCTAATTTCACAGAACAAAAACGAACGTTAGAACAATAACCGAACTGACTGAATCTGACTTGAATCGCAATCGAAATCCAGCTTCTTTTGACCCATACTTGGTTTTCGTTGTTATAATATCCTCCTGAAAGGATTTTATTATCGTTTATAAGTTATGCGCTATTGTAATCCGCTCCTGACGCTTGCTGCCTTGCTGCTGTTGATTTGCAATCCCATACAATCATCATCCTCCGTTCTTGCAGCAGCAACAACAACAACTTTTGGAGTATGCGAACCCGATTCTTCTTCATCTTCTTTGGAGACGAGTTGCGCAAAACCTCCAGCCTTGACGTTGGAAAACATTGCCGAATTCATGGATGAGACAATTCCAAAACAAATGGAAGAATCTCATATTGTGGGAACGACTCTATCCGTTGTCAAATTATCCTCCCATGGCGATCATGATGATGCAAGTCTCGGAAGCTGGTTGTATGGTCGAGTCTTTGGTGGAGAACACGAGGGATACGACGACGACGACTTTTGGCAGTACAGCAAGGGCTATGGAATGGCCAATGTGGAAAGTAATATTGGAGTGGATCCGGATTCGTCGCTCTTTCGGCCCGGATCCATCTCCAAAATGTTCTTGTGGACGGCTGTGATGCAGCTTGTGGAACAAGGAAAGATTGATTTGGACCAGGATATCTGCACCCATCTGAAGTGCGAGGAAATTCCAACTCTGACCAAGAAAAACAATCCCAAGGACTATGCACCCATTACCATGTCGCATTTAATAACGCATACACCAGGATTCGAAGATTATTTATTCAATCTAATGGTCAAGGAGGAAGCCAAGCTTATGAGTTTGGAAGAATGCATCTCCTTCCGAACTCTGCAAAGGGTCCGAGAACCTGGAGCGGAACTAGCATATTCGAATTATGGTTCCTTGTTGGCAGCTCGAATTATAGAAGTTATTAGCGGGCTCACGTTTGAAGAGTACATTGAAAAGAACATTTTCGAGCCTTTGGGAATGGCTGATTCCACCTTTCGACAACCTCTGCCTGAAGACTTGGCAGCAGGCATGGCGGAAGGCTATGCCTACAATGGTGAAGGGACTGTTAAAAAGCACTTTGAACTGGTAAATGGGACACCTGCTGGAGGCCTTACTTCTACTGCGAACGATATGGCCAAATTCATGAAGGCTCATCTCTCTGTGAATTCTGGCGGGAACGGTCTTCTCAAGCCTGCCACTATGAAAAAAATGCACACTCTGCTCTATCAGCCGGATCCTCAGTATGAAATGGGCTTTGCGCATGGACTCATGGATATGAGCACCAATGGCGTCCGTGTGATTGGGCATGGGGGTGACACTCTTTACTTTCACAGCCTGCTCGCGCTTTTGCCCGAACACAAATTGGGTGTCTTTTTTTCCTTCAATACGGGGATTGAAAATGGATTGCCCGATTTCCCTGCCGACAAAATTGCCAAGAGTTTCATGGATCACTTCTTTCCAGCACCCACGGGAAAGGAAAAACGGGCCATGATGATGATGAAGGATCATAATGATGACTCCGATGCCAATATCACCACTACCACGGAACCACATTTCGCTTTGGATTATACAGGTAGCTACAACTCCAATCGTCGATCGGAAAGTGATATGCTCAAGGTGAATAGCCTTGCCATGTCGTACGATGTCAAGCGTGGTAAAACTCCTGGTTCCATTTTGGTGTCCAGTTTCATCCAGCCAGAATACACGGAATATGTGGAAATCGATGAGCATCTCTTTCAAGAAGCGGATGGTCAACACAAACTACTCTTTTTGGTGGACGAGATGGAAGATGGGACTCGCATAGTCCGATCCATCTTTGCCGACGCACTGCCAGTCTTGCAATTTACCAAATGTGCATGGTGGGAGCAAAAGCGGTTCAACATTTGCATCGCTGCTACTGGGCAAATCAGCATATTGCTTGGCTTTTTTATTTGGTTTGTAGTACCATTTCTGCGTTATATTTGGTCCAAGGCGGCTGCCCTTCGACGTGGCAAGGGCGCAGCAACAGATGATTTGCAGCAGCAAGAGGAAACACCATCAATGGGTCCACCAGGGGCCAAGTTCGCCAGTCGACTGGGCTCGGCAGTGGTGATGGCCTATTTTGCATTCTATGGATCCATTATCTACATTTCCGTCGTTCGAGACTTGGTCTTTGGGGGCAGTTTGCCAAAATGGCCATTCTTTTTGCCCTACATTGCGTTTCTATTGGGGCTCCCACTTCCAGTCATGGCAGTCGCCGCTTGGCGCAAGAAGTACTGGGGCGTTGCGTTCCGAATATACTATACGGTCTTTGCATTCGCTGTGCAAGGTCTCTTTTGGTTCCTTTGGCATTGGGGCTTTGTGGCTCAAAGCCTATCGCACTGATCCTCTTTTTAATTCAATCGGATCAGTCATATGTTTGGGTCAGGCCTAATATTATTAGGCCTGCCAAAATATAAAAAAGCAGCATTGTTGCATGCTCGACACGCGGTCGGCTTGTTATGGATGGATGGTTCGGTACCAGGTACTTTTACCCAACAGTATATCGCGTTTCTACTGGGGCTCCCACTTCTAGCCATGACAGTCGCCACTTGGTGTAAGAAGCACTGGGGCGTTGCGTGCCGAATACAATGAGGTCTTTGCAGTACTGTAGTTGCTGTGCAAGGTCTTTGGCATTGGGGCCTTGTGGCTCAAAGCCTAGAATCCTTGCTAGAATGGCCTCTTTGATTCAATCCGATTAGTCAAATATTTGGGTCACACGCCTATTTAGGCCTGCCAACAGCATCATTTATTTATTGCGTGTTCGACACGATCTACATTCTCCTTCTGATGGATGATAATGATCTAAGGATTCTCACTTTATTTTCGCAAGATTGATTGATGTCTACCATCAGAAATAATTCCGGAATGGAAGAAACGGCACCGGTACACGCTCATGCTAGCGATATGGAGTGGCTAGATCGATTAAAACGGCGATTAAGCAATAATGCATGTAATTCAACATTATCACAACCTCATCATGACGATTTGAAACGAGCCAGTGTCTTGGTTCTGCTAGATTCCAAGGGAAACGTTCTACTGAATCAGCGAAGTTTGTATCTTAAATCTCATCCGGGCGAGATATGCTTTCCTGGAGGTAAGCAAGATCCGGAAGATGGCGGAGATGATGTCGTGACAGCACTGCGAGAATGCCATGAAGAAGTCGGATTGCAATTTCAGAATCCCAGCAAGAAGGATGAGGAAGATGAAAAACTACCCAAAGTGGAAATAATCGGAGCCATGCCCACGATTGAAAGCTTGCACCACCTTTGCGTCACTCCAATCGTGGCCTTGGTCCCAGATCATCACCATTCCGAATTACCCCTGACATTAAATGAAAAGGAAGTGGCAGCTGCCTTTTGGGCTCCTCTTGACTTTTATGTTAAAAATACTCCCATCGAACTTTATCCGCTTGAGTGGTCGGGAGAAACCTTTTGGTATCGCAACTACTCCTACAGCATTACGGAACCAAACGATTCATCTCGAGGTGCTGGAAACAGCAGCAATCGCAACAAGAGAAGGCGAAGAACACGGGCGCACGCAGTAAACGTCACAGGACTGACAGCTCATATTGCCTACGAGGTTGCAAAGATTGCTCATCCAAACCACTCTGATAGTAGCTTTGTCTTGCTTCGGCAATTCCAACGAGGCAAATCAAAGTATTGGACTCCCAAATGCTTTGTCTTTGCAACGTCCATGTTGCATCAGCACGATCATGATTCCCAGCGAAATCGAAAACAAAATGCCGCCAATAAAAAGAATCGACTGATGCTAGATGCTACCTGTCAAATGGTAGACTATACGGAAGATCCAGAATATGCGTTTGCCTTTCAGTTGATTGTTTTGGATGGAAAGATTACGTGGACGCTTGCAGCAACAACACAGGAGGAAAAGGACGCCTTTCAAAATGCTCTTTTCCAGTTCTTGAAATCATCAGGGAAGAGGAATGATATTCAAGAATAAAGCAACCGAAGCAGTGCCCTAGTTTGGAGGTTCCTATGAATGAGTAATGTTACATTATGCAAGTTACGAAAGCAGTCGATTGGCCCTACTCCTACAATGCGACCAAGGATAAAATCATGCTCTACCATCATAATAGAAAATTGGCATCCAAGTTTGGCCATGAGTGGACCGAATGGCGCCACCCCTTTTGAGGCATTCGAAAAGCGCAGGAATCAGTTCCGGACGGAACGCAACGTTCGAAAATACTCCCGTGTGGAAGTCCTTAACCGGTTTGAGCCTTGCCATTTCAGCATGAGCAACTCGGAGAGCTTCGAGATACACTTGATTGCGCTGTTCAAGAGATAAGAGTGACATCATCTCTTCCACTGGCGTAGCGTCATATTTCACACTATCACCATGGTTCGCCGCTGCTTGAAGCAACTCATCTTGAGACAATGTTGCCACAGCTGTCATCAAGGTCTCAACCAATTTGGAATTCTTGTACACGATTGCCTCCTCGCAATAGACGTGAACGTTGGCTTGTGTCTGTTGAATGTCCTTTTGAATGAATGCATCCACCAGCGGCAAAAGTTTGGCGACTCCAAAGTAGTCCCCCAAGTATCCAAGCGCTACCGCAGAGCTAGGATTCAAGTCGAGATCGCCAGTATAGATGTAGTCCAAGAAAACTGGGAATGCCTTGGCAGCAGACGGCTCCAGTGTAATTCTTGTTTTTCCGGCTTTGGACTCTTTCATTTGAGATCTGAACAGGCTGTCAAAGTACAATGATTTTCGAGGACCGACAGCAAGAAAGAACTTGTGGACCTGGAAATTAATGGGAGAGACATCCGTGTGGAGGCTTGCTGATGTGAGCACACTTATTTCAATCTTCCAGTCACTATAACTATTCCTCGGATCCATCCTCCAAGCAGATTTGTTCCAGCAGCATGACGTATTCATGGCGGGAGGAGTCGTCGTGCCATCCGTTTCTTGAGTCGGTTCTACTTCTTCCATTACTGTCATTGTTCAAGAGCGATTGCGCTTGAACTTGCCTTTATTTTGTAATGTAGCCAATCTCGTCATAGTAAAGAATTGAAGTTTTCATGTGCCATCGAACATCGCACCTCTACCAATCATGGGTGGATAAAAAAATGATCGCTTCAAAGCCAATCACACATACATTTGACGTCATCATAAACGTACATGGTTAGTGCGACATCTTTAGTGTTCGTGTCTGCGGTACAACGGTTAAGTCTAAGGTCATCCATTAAAAGAGTATATCGCTGCTACTTAAATATCGAGATTATTTCATAAATGTTCACCAGGTGTTTTATTAATAGTTGTTTTCGGATTGAAAGGTTTCTCTTCTTTTGCCGGAAAACCATACTGACAGTATAGTGCTCTGTTAGCCTGCCTCTCATCCTCAGGTTTGTGGTGAAGGTATTGGTGAAGACGATAGCAATCAATTAGTGACAGTAGAACCATGTTTTCCATGGTGCCCCGATCAACGCCTTGGAAGAAGGCAGACAAGAAGAAACAGCATTACGATGGGGATCCGCCACAAACTGTACCATTGCATATGTATGAAAAACTTCAGCTACAACTGATGGAGACTATTGACGCTCTGTCGGAGAGGGATTCCGAAGTGTCCTCTCTCACTTCACGCATCAAGATTCAGACAGCAAACTCGTCAGTGCTCACGTACAAACTTGATGCTCTGGAGAATACGATCGAGGAGAAAGACAGCGAGATTGACAAACTCAAGCAAGAGTTATCAGTCTTACGGGGAAATGGACCAACTGAACTTCAAGTCTCGAAGAAGAAAGAAAAGAAGGAGAAACAAAAGAAATCCAAGTCGAAATCTAATCAATCAGACTCGCATGGTCTCAAAAAATCTGGCAAAAAGAAGAAGAAAAACCTCAAGAGAATCACCTTGCATAATCATGAGCTCTCAAAGGCGAGTGAACAAGGCGACAAGCAACCTTTATTAGCAACTACAAAGTGCGGAAGCGTTGGATCGAATTCCGAAGACTCATCAGACCGAGGTATGAATGGGTCGATGACCAAGCCATTGGAGGCTCAACATGAATTTGAGAACAATGTGGTAGATCGTGGTACAGGTCCAGAAGACGTGAAGGAAGAACCCCAAGACGATAGTATGCATTCACAAGCCAACCTATGCTACAGTCCTGGGCAGGGACTCAGTAGACGCCAGACACTGCCGCCATCTCATCGCTTTTGGAAGTTTCGGTCTCCTCAACTGGTCAGTCCGTCCATGTCAGATAGACCATTTCTGGATCCAACGATGTTGGAGATGATTGATGAAGTTTCAGACTTGACAAGAAGCTATCGCAGTGAGTTTAGCGTGTCAATATGGTCGCCAAGTCCAATTGTGAAGAGGAGAGAGATCGTCATGAGTGAAGCTGACAAGGCTGCGATTGGAATCAGTGGTCTAGTAGTTGGTGATAATGTTCAGATGCCTCGCCGAGGCAGTATTGATAGTGGAATACATGACAATTTTACCAAGCTCGTCAGATCCAACTCGCTGAAAGAAGGCAATAGTGGAATTCATGAGAACTTTACCAAGCTCACTCTATCCAACTCGCTGAAAGAAGGTAAAGCATGGATGCAAATGGCTGAAACTTCAATTGTCGAAGAAGAATCAATAGAAGAAGAATCGGTTGAAGAAGAAATTACTGATGAGAGTGATGGCGACGAAGATACTACATGCGAAGACATCCTGGAAGATGACAGCATTGCGTCGTCCAGCATGTCATGTTGACAGCTGTCGAAGTTCCGGTATTTTTTAAAATTAATAATATGCTAGAGTACACAGATCAAATAGTAAAGTTGGTGTTGTTGCCAGGGAGCATTGCTGGCATCAATTGCCATGCTGGGCTTGAGCTCTTCTGGACCTTCCACGGATTCTTGGCTCCAGGCAGGGATGAGAGGAATACGTTGACTGTCGTTTGATGTCTCAATGGGAGTGTAATCGGCGTCGGGAAGGTCACGAAAGATGCGCTGTTGGACTTCCATCATCGCATGCTGCGAATA